GTGAAAACCTCCTTCCCTCAGCCAGGGCATTGAAAATGGGTCGTTGATGGGTATTGCAGCATGACAATGATCCACAACACACGGCCAAGGCAACAAAGGAGTGGCTCAAGAAGAAGCACATTAAGGTCCTGGAGTGGCCTAGCCAGTCTCCAGACCTTAATCCCATAGAAAATCTGTGGAGGGAGCTGGAGGTTCGAGTTGCCAAACGTCAGCCTCGTAACCTTAATGACTTGGAGAAGATCCCTCCTAAGATGTGTGCAAACCTGGTGGCCAACTACAAGAAACGTCTGACCTCTGTGATTGCCAACAAGGGTTTTGCCACCAAGTACTAAGTCATGTTTTGCAGAAGGGTCAAATACTTATTTCCCTCATTAAAATACAAATCAATTTAGAACATTTTTGACATGCGTTTTTCTGGATGTTGTTGTTATTCTGTCTCTCACTGTTCAAATAAACCTACAATTAAAATTATAGACTGATCATTTCTTTGTCAGTGGGCAAACGTACAAAATCAGCAGGGGATCAAATACTTTTTTCCCTCGCTGTATACAGGGTTGCCCAAAAGTCAGGACATGGATTATAATATTTCTTTTAACACTGGGATGAAAACATTGCAATTGTGTATTAATGAAATTTAATATTTCGTATATTGTTAATATCTATTTTTAATATTTTCAGATGACATTTAAAAATGGAAGGAAAATCTACTGAATTGAGGGCCTTTGTAACGGCAAAGCTGCTGGGGTCGATGAGATTCGCCCAGAGTTGAAAGCGCTGGACAGTGTATGAGTGTCGTGGTTAACACGCCTCATCAATGTTGCATGGAACGCGCGAACTACCTCTGGATTAGTAAATTGGGGTTGTGGTTCCCATTTTTAAGAAAGGGGACAGAGGGTGTACTCCAATTACAGAGGAATCACACTCATCAGTGTCCCAGGTAAAACGTATTACAAAGAGCTGGACAGGAGGCTCCGTCCCAGTGGTCGAGCCTCACATTTAGGAGGAAAAATGCGGATTCCGCCACGGTCGTGGAACGATGCACCAGCTCTTTTCCCTCATGTATGTGAGGGGTCATGGGAGTATGTTTTTCCAGTCTACCTCTGCTCTGTAGACTTGGAGAAAGCATATGTCCGTGTTCCCCGCAATGTCCTGTGGGAGGTGCTGCGAGGGAGAACGATGGACCGGTGCCACTCTTGTGTGCGATCCATTGCTTCTATTCCCAGAGCAACAGCTGTGTCCGTATCATTGGTGTTAAATCAAAGTCGTTCACTGTGGGTGTTGGACTCCGTCAAGGGTGCGTCGTGTCTCCATTCCTGTTTGTGATTTTCACGGACGGGATATCAAGGCGCAGCCCCAGGTATGGAGAGTCTTCGGTACGGGGGCATGGAGGTGGCGTCGCTGCTTTCTGCGGACGACGTTGTCCTCTGTCTCGTCAGTCTGGGATCTCAGCGTGCACTCAGGACGCTTTGATGCCGAGTGTGAAGCGGCTGGGATGAGGATCAGCAACTCCAAATCTGAGGTCGTGGTTCACTCCCGGGAGATTGTGGATCGTTCTCTCCAGGTGAGGGGGGAACAGCTGCCCTTGGTGGAGGAGTTTCAGTACCTCGAGGTCTCTTCCGCGAGTGGTGGTAAGGGGGAGCGGGAGACCGGCCGGCGGATCGGTGCGTTGCGGGCGCTGCACCGTTCCGCGGTAGGGAAGCGGGAGCTGAGTTTTCAAACAATGCTCTCGGTTTACAGATCGATCAGCATTCTCCCACCCTCACCGATGGTCATGAGCTTTTGGTAATGACCGAAAGGATGAGATCGCGGGTACAAGGGGCCGAGATGAGGTTTCTCCGCAGGGTTGCCGGGTTCACTCTCCGTGATCGGGCGAGGAGCTCGGTAATCAGGGAGAGTCTCAGAGTCGAGTCGCTGCTCCTCCAGATCGAGAAGAGCCAGTCGATGTGATTCGGGCACCCGGTAAGGATGCCCCCTGGCAGACTCCCCCTGGAACTGTACCGGGCAGCACGGCCCACTGGGAGAAGACCCCAGGGCTGGCCCACGACACGCTGCTCGTGGTGGGACTCTGTCGCTCGGCTGGCCTCGGAACGCCTGGGAATTCCCCCAGGAAGAGCGAGAGTCTGTGTATAGTAGTGTATAGTGTAGTGTTAAGTAGTGTAGTGTATAGTGTTGTGTATAAGAGTGTATAGTGTAGTGTATAGTGTATAGTAGTTGTGGCCGAATCGTCGTGAGAATTTTATTGTGTTCTTTTATTTTATCAATTTATTATTTTATTCTCATTCTACGTGACTTTACCGAAAGAACCAAAGAAAAAGTGTATAGTAGTGTATAGTGTAGTGTATAGGAGTGTATAGTGTATTGTATAGTAGTGTAGTGTACAGTAGTGTGTAGTAGTGTAGTGTATAGTAGTGTATAGTGTAGTGTATAGGGTAGTAGTGTGTAGTGTATAGTGTAGTGTATAGTGTAGTAGTGTAGTGTATAGTGTAGTAGTGTAGTGTATAGTAGTGTATAGTGTAGTGTATAGTATTTTTAGTGTAGTAGTGTATAGTAGTGTAGTGTATAGTAGTGTATAGTGTAGTGTATAGTAGTGTATAGTGTAGTGTATAGTACTGTATAGTAGTGTTTAGTGTAGTGTATAGTAGTGTTTAGTAATTTAGTGCTGGAGTCTGTCTCCAGGGAAAGGAAGGTCTGGATTGCCACGACTCAACACGCAGTCAGTTTAAACATCTATTAAAATAAATTAAATAACCCCGTGTCCTAACCTTTGGGCCACCCTGTATTACGTTTGTGACCTTTTGTTTAATGTGGGTGCTTGTATGCAATATGTACTGCATATGTTACGTGTAATGATTCAGGTGTATATCCAATGTATGTTCATACGTGTGAGTATCTTTAATAGGGGCTCACAGGCAGATGTCCCTGTGTGATTGTTTGAATGTGTGCTTCTGTTAGTGTAGAGAGCGGTAGTGTGGCGGTTAGCGCGCTACGCTACGAACCCGGCGACCTGGATTCGATTCCGGTCCTGGGCCACCCCTAGGTCGACTCAGCCTCAAATGAGTACCTGGTGCGGTGCGTAAACATCGCCACTAGGGAGACAAAGGCGGCCGGACGTGGTGTTGACCACCCACCCCCTCATGTGCCCCGTGCCGGCCTTCATAGGTGCTGCTCGCGAACAGCACTCGTCCCAACAGTCTGTTGCAGGCTATACGGGGGATCTTTGCCTTTGCTTCTGTCATTCACAAGAGGCTTGGTGAAGTCTTTAATTGGTGCTCTCAAAAAGCACTTGGCCCGACACTAACTTTAAACCAAACAGGAGAGGGTTTAAACAAACTCTTTACATGCCCGTGTGTGGGTGTGCATCTCACCCTGTCTTTGATAATTGGGGTAATTAAGACGAACACAGCCACTTACGGGTCAATCGCTTCGACGGCAGATGGTGCCTGCCGTGAATGCACCAGGATGCATTGCTGGAGAGAGCGAGAGAGCGACCTCTGATCGAACACGGCGCTCAGATGCTAATCCATTGTTAAGGCGGAGAGAGAGTGGTCGTGGTGGTAGCTGCGCTACGAACCCGGCCACCTGAGTTTGATTCCTGCTCATGGCCATCTGAATAGGTCCTGAGCCTCCCCTAGGTCGACTCGGCCTCAAATGAGTACCTGGTGCGATGTGTAAACATCGCTACTGGGGAGACAAAGGCGGCCGGGCGTGGTGCTGGCCACCCACCACCCCCTCGTGTGCCGTTCCGGCCTTCATCGGTGCTACTCGTGAACAGCACTTGCCCCTACAGCCTGTTAAGGCTATAGGTGAATCTTTGTCTTTGCCGTGAGCACCGACGGATGATTGGTGAACACGTGGTGATGGGAAGGAGGTTGATACATCTTAGGAAGCCGAGGGAACCAGACACTGCTACTTGCACCAGCCACATCCTACACCGACAAAGTCAGCCAGCCTGACCCTAACTAGCCCTGAACAGAACCACACTCCGCAGGTAGACTAGCACCCACCATTAACACACCAGCCAACTAGACCTCGGCCCTACCATAACAACAGCCGCTATTCGCCACGGCGCTTGTGCCAGGCTAGGTGCACTTTGAGGTCACGTGCAGTGCCGGGAGGCTGCCTGGCAGGAGGAGGTCACGGGACAGACCCCATGTGCCATGGGTTGCCTGACCAAGACGAATGTCCGACACTGCCACACGTGCTCCCCACTGCGCCAGCTCTCCCGATAGCCACCCTGGCACCAGTCCTGGCCCGAATCCTCCTTCACCACGCTCACCTTGCCAGGCCCTGATCCTCACCCACACAAGCTCGCGTAATTTCCTGCTTCACGTCGAGGTGCTGGTGGTGGTGGTGCCCCGAGCAGGTGAGAGACATCTCACTTGCACGTGGCGTAGGGCGAGTCTGCAACACCAACAAAAACTAAAGCAATAAACTAAAATCAAAAACAAAAAAACTTAAATAAAAACTAACAAAAAAAACTAAAACTAAATACTAAAACAAAAAAATTAAAACTTAAAAACTAAAATTAAAACTAAAAACTTAAACTAATATTAAAACTAAAAACCCGCTTTCTTTTGCCAGGTCAGGCCCCACAAAACTGCTGTCGCCCTTTGAGTCAGAAGCCGACCTGGCTATATGGCCAGCGATAGCTCACGAAGTGGATTGTCATCGTCGCCTGGGGATTGGTACCAGCAGCCGGTACTCGAGGCGCGTGTTTAGTACAAATGTGGAGGGAAGAAGTCGGGGGAGCCAGAGGGAAAAAAAAATCCACGCGATCACGGGGGGGAGAGAGAGCGAGGAGGGGGGGAGAGGGGGGGAGAGGGGGGGGAGAGGAGGAGGGGGGGAGAGGGGAGGAGGAGAGGAGGAGGGGAGGAGGGGGAGAAGGAGGAGGAGGGGGGAAGGAGGAGGGGGGAGGAGGAGGGGGGGGAGGAGGAGGGGGGGGAGGAGGAGGGGGGGAGGAGGAGGGGGGGAGGAGGAGGGGGGGAGGAGGAGGCTTCCATATCCGCGCAGGGAGTGCTCCCCCTGGTGGGAAGGGAGTGTGAGCACAACGAGTGTGAACACAACGAGTGTGTGCTCTGCTCTGTGCGTTCGCGCGGCGATGCCTTTCGGCGGACATCGCCGCCGTTTCTCTCAGCCTTCTCCCGCTCTCTTCTTCCTCCAGTAACAAGGGCACGACGTACGTGGCGTACAGGCCAGGCAGGGCAGGGCAGGCAAGGCAGGCAGGGCAGGCAGGGATCTCCAGAGGCGATGCACCCCACGCGGACTCCCCTTCTTCTCCTCCTCATCGTCGTGGCATCGATCAGCTCGCCGAGCGCAACCAGCCGAGGTGAGGTTGACGGTCGCGTGTCGGGTGGTGCTGGTGGTGGTGCTGGTGCTGATGGTGGTGCTGGTGGTGATGGTGCTGGTGGTGATGGTGCTAGTGGTGATGGTGCTGGTGGTGGTGATGGTGGTGCTGGTACTGCTGGTGGTGGTGGTGCTGGTGGTGGTGGTGGTACTGGTGGTGGTGGTACTGGTGGTGGTGGTGATGGTGGTGCTGGTGGTGCTGGCACTGCTGGTGGTGGTGCTGGTGGTGGTGGTACTGGTGGTGGTGCTGGTGGTGGTGCTGGTGGTGGTGCTGGTGGTGGTGGTGATGGTGGTGGTGATGGTGGTGCTGGTGGTGCTGGCATTGCTGGTGGTGGTGGTCACACGAGCATTAGTGGTGGCGTGTTGGGGGCTGTGTGTTGTGGTTGTTGTTGTCGTCGTCGACTCGGCCTCTGATGAGTACCTGTGGTTGCGGTGTGTAAACATCCCCACTGGGGGAGACAAAGGCGTCCGGGCGTGGTTGCTGGCCACCCCTCGCTTGCCCCACGGTGCCGGCCCTTCAAGCGGTGCTGCTCGCTCACAGCACGTGCCCCAGCAGTCTGTTACGGGCTACACGGGGGGGGGGGGGGGCTCGACTCTGCCGAGCGTGAGCTGGAGGGGAGCCCTGCGTGCTGCTGCTGCTGCCGCGAGGGATGGAGGTTGCCAGGGGGAGGGAGAGAGGGAGACAAAAGCGGCCGGGCGTGGTGGTTGCGCGCCCCGCCAACGTTAAGCCAGATCCTCGTGATGCCTTGCCCCCCACACGCCCGTTAAGCCTGTACAACGGGGATCTTTGTCTTATTGTCTGCCGTGTGTGTGTGGCCATTGTCTTGTGTGTGTGTCGTGGATGCACTGTTTATTAACACGTAGGAGGATGGCGAGACCAATATCGTCCATAATGCAGGTTGTTGTGTTTTTTTATATTTGGGGTCAGATCGAGCAAAAATATAAATGTGTCGTGAAACCCGCCACCACGAGACACGGCCACGTTTGGCTTTGTGTGTCTTTGTGTAGTGGTGTGTACTGTTTGGCTTTGTGTGTCTTTGTGTAGTGTTGTGTACCATGTGGCGTTGTGTATCTTTGTGTAGTGTTGTGTACTATTTGGCTTTGTGTAGTGTGTACCATGTGGCTTTGTGTTGTGTACCATATGGCTTTGTGTATCTTTGTGTAGTGTTGTTGTGTACTATTTGGCTTTGTGTAGTGGTGTGTACCATGTGGCCTTGTGTGTCTTTGTGTAGTGGTGTGTACCATGTGGCCTTGTGTGTCTTTGTGTAGTGGTGTGTACCATGTGGCCTTGTGTGTCTTTGTGTAGTGGTGTGTACCATGTGGCCTTGTGTGTCTTTGTGTAGTGGTGTGTACCATGTGGCCTTGTGTGTCTTTGTGTAGTGGTGTGTACCATGTGGCCTTGTGTGTCTTTGTGTAGTGGTGTGTACCATGTGGCTTTGTGTATCTTTGTGTAGTGGTGTGTACCATGTGGCCTTGTGTGTCTTTGTGTAGTGGTGTGTACCATGTGGCTTTGTGTATCTTTGTGTAGTGTTGTTGTGTACTATTTGGCTTTGTGTAGGGGTGTGAGGGCTGCGCTATGAACCCGGCGACCCGAGTTCGATTCCCGGCTCACGGCCACCACCGGTGACGATTATCCGAACCGGTCATGGGCCTCCCCATAGGTCGACTCAGCCTCAAATGAGTACCTGGTGCGGTGTGTCGTGAACATCGCCACTGAGGAGACAAAGGCGGCCGGGCGTGGTGCTGGCCACCCACCCCCTCGTGTGCATAGCTTTGTGTGTGTGTGTATGTACCTGTTATGTATATGTGTGCATTTCAGTCTTGATGTGTTTGTCTTTCCGTATTCACGTGAGCCTTTGTGTGTGTGTCTTTCTGTTTATGAGTGGCTCCTCTTATCCACAATAGCAGACATCGGGGTGCCGTTTCATGCACGTGCAGCACGTTTAACTTCTTTCGCACCGTACGTAGCCAATCGGAGGCGCGGGGATGGGGAGACGAAAAACAATATCGACGGATTATCGCCGATAATAGGGAGGAGTAGAGTCCAGGGATAGAATGAGTCCAACGTTGTCATGGTCAGCTATGGCCGATCCACTGCTGGATGAAGGCCTCCCAGTGCCAACCGTCACAATCCACCCCCAACGCCAGACCCTCTTTGCTGCACGTGAAACGATTTCACCGTCTCGACGAATTCTCAGAGCGCGTTCCATCACCTCGGACTGTCACCCCCCCCCCCCCATCCCTGACTTCTCGACCACTGCCCTGTCGTAGCCTTCCAGGTCAACTATGTGGCTTGCTCCACCCCCCCCCCCCCTCCCGGAGTTCCATGGTTCACCTACCCCAGTGTGGAGGCCAATATAACGTCTCGCCTTGCAATCAGAAGCTACACCACACTAAACCGTTTATTTTGTAATTTTTAACCAGGTGAAAGCCTACTGTGCTACATAGCTCATTTTCACAACCGACCTGGCAATCACAAATGATAGCTCAACGAAGTGGGCTCATCATCTTCATCGACGTCGTGTGGGAATGTATAGCTGCCAAATACGGTAAACGCGTGACGTTGATTCTAAATGTGGAGGGAAAGAAATCGGAGGGACGCGGAGAAAAATCCACGCGACCACGGCGAGAGAGACACGCAAACTTCAAATATGCAGCAGCAGGCGTCAGGGTCGGGATCGAACCCACGACCTCCTGTAGACCAGGCGAGGTAGTTAACATCTCCTAGCCACCGTGATGATGATGACAAAGAGAGAGAGACACGCAAACATCAAATATGCAGCAGCAGGCGTCAGGGCCGGGATCGAACCCACGACCTCCTGTATACCAGGCGAGGTAGTTAACATCTCCTAACCACCGTGATGACGATGAGAGAGAGAGAGACACGCAAACTCCAAATATACAGCAGCAGCAGGCGTCAGGCTCGGGACCGAAACCACGACCTCATTTGCAGTTTGCGTGTCTCTCTTCCCCGTGGTCGTGCGCATTTTTCTCGGCCCTCCAGTTTTTTTCCTCCACATGTAGAATCAACGTCACTCGTTTCGCGTGTTCCGTGTGTTTCCCCGCCGCATCTACAACGGAGACGCGGTTGGAGTGTTGCATTTGGCTGCTTCTGTACATTTCCGCATGGTGACGAACCACTTCGTGGAGCTATGATTTGTGGCCAGGTTCGCTTTTGTAAAAAAAATAAAACAGAGAGTGCTTTGCAATTAGCTCAGCGGGCCATACTTGGTCAAATGTGAAGATAATCGTAGTGAAATGGAATTGCGCGCGCGCGCACGTGGAGTTGAATTGCTTCTTTGCACACACCTCTGGATTGCAAGCCCAGAGTGCCCCCCCCCCCCACCACCACCAACCTTGACCAATCACGTGCGCCAACATCGACACTTTTGATGTTTGCCGTGCAATTGTGTCAACTCTTAGTCATTCTCTTGACAATCACTCGAGCCCAACAGCCTTGACCAGGTGGGTTTGGGGTGTTTGCGTGCGGAGTGTGCGTGCGGTGGGGGGGGGGTGTGTGTATGTGTGTGTGTGTGCGTGGCGTTAGGCCGCCTTCACCTGCCGCTGTGTTGCGTTGCAGCGCCGCTAACCGCTGCTCCGGTGTTCAGCGCCGCGCCACGAACCCGGCGACCCGAGGTCCATTCCCGCTCACGGCCACCGGCGCCGGTGACGATTATCCGAACCGGTCCTGGGCCTTCCCCTAGGTCGACTCGGCCTCAAATGAGTGCCCGGCGTGGCGTGTAAAAACATCGCCGCTGGGGAGACAAAGGCGGTCGGGCGTGGTGGCGGTGGCCCCTCGTGTACCCTGCCGGTCTTCATAGGTGCTACTCGCTGACAGCACTTGCCTCAACAGTCCGCGCAGGCTATACGGGGGGGATCTTTGTGTTTGTTGCCGACGTGGTAGCGGTAGTGTAGTGGTTAGCTGAATTCGATTCCCGCCTACAACCAAAATCGTTGACGAATATCTGAACCGGTCCCGGGCCCTCTCCTAGGTAGACTCGGCTTCATATGAATACTGTAGCTGGTGCGGTGTGTAAACATCGCCATTGGGGAGACAAAGGCAGCCGGGAGTGGTGCTGGTCACCCACTTCCTCGTGTTGCCGTGCCGGCCTCGATCGCCGCTACTCGCTAATGGCACTTGCCCCTACAGTCTGTTAAATGCTCCACAGGGGATCTTTTGTCTTTTGTTGCACGCGTGGCGACACATCACATACATGGACTCGCACACGAGGTTTGGCGTTGAGGTGGAGAGTCCAAGTGACTCACAGCGCCGCCTGTATTGACCCCGAGGTGTGAGGAGGGGTCGATGGGGCGTGCGTGTGTGATAGCCACATGTTGCGTTGCTGCTGCCGTCTGAAATGCCCTTCCGATGTAAGGAAGCCACAGGGAGCTATGTCCTTTCATATCATCCAGATTGAAAACGCATTTCTTTACAACTGCTTTTGGTTTTGATTTAAAGCTTTCGTGACTGCAATAATTCATATTCTTAGCTCTTTCGGTAAAGTCACGTTGAAGGGAAACAATAAAATAATAAAATATATAAAACAATAAAAATTCTCACGACGTTTCGACCATAACACAAACGGTCGTCATCAGGTGTGTTGGTTCGCATTAATTTATTTATTTTTAAACGGTGTATTTATTTATTTTTTAAAAAACGTCAGCGCCACGCGCAGCGATTTGGCAATTTATTTAGAAGGACGAGTCCATCTATGTTCTGAAAAGAGGAGGGTGGGAGACGAAAAATTAATGTATGCTGTCTGAAAGCCACTGTAAGCATGAACAATCAATTAAGACCTGAAATGGTTTATCAAATCTTTCCAATGATTGCTAAGCCAGAATCCATCTTCTCGGTTGAAATTGTCTCTGTGCTTGTATATGTGGATAGCCTCATGAACGAATCTCTCATGGTAGCCAGATGGCTTACAAAGAACCTCTGTCTTGGAAAAGTCAATGTCATGTGAGCCTACTGAATTATAACAGTGATCTGCCACGGCCGAGGTGTTGGTCCTACCGTGTTTAAGGTCTGCTTTGTGTTCACGAATGCGGTCCGAGATATGGCGTTTGGTTTCTCCAATGTAACTACTACCACAGAGGCAACTTAGTTTGTAGACACCAGGGGACTGTATGTCCGGAATCACATCTTTTACAGACGGAACCAGATCACGACGAGCGGAGCGCCCCGGGGGTGGCTAAAGCGACGCGGCGAGTTAGCGTAGTGGGATGGAGAGGAGGAGAGGGTGGGGGGGGGGGCGTGCTAAACGGGCACGGCACGGGTAGTGGGGGGCGAGGGGAAGGGAAAAATGAACCCTAACCCAGCGTCTCCCGAACCACGCCGGGCCGGTTTGGCACGGTGGGGGGGGAATCCCCTCGCGGCGCGGTTGTGCGTTGTGGCGGGGAAACGGAGAGGAGCGAGTCGTCCTGCGCGCAGGACCGGGGGTTGCCGGCGGCCTGGGCCAGGGCCTGGGCAGCTACATCCGGCGCTACGAGGGCCTCTCCTACGACACGGAGGACGTCCACACGCAGCACGAGCGCGTCCGGCGCGCCGCCCTGGGCCGGCAGACGGCGCAGCTGAGCATCCGCTTCTCGGCGTACGGACGGTAAGGACGCGCCCGGCACGCGTCCGGCACGCGTGCGGCACGCGTCCGGCACGCGTCCGGCACGCGCACGGCACGCGCACGGCACGCTCCGGTTCGCGCGATTGGCTACGTACGGTGACGAAAGACGTTCCCACGTATGCACGCCGGGTTCAGTGGCGGCGGTAGCTCGGCAGGCAGTCGGAATCGTAATGTTTGGTTTGGACTGGAGGAGGAATCCGAAGAGCTGCGAAGCTCTTTGTCGTAGATGTCCAATCGGGGCGGAGTGGGGGTAAGCGGCGTCGCATCAATGAACAAACGCGATCGACGATGCGAGAAGAGCAAGCTGGACAAAAGGTAAGGCAGTCGCTGGAAATGAGTAAACATGAATAAAGTACACAAAGTACTAATTTACGCAAGTACATAAACACCGAACTTTGGGGCAAGGCAACAGAACAATTGCTAAGACAATTAACTATTTTGCTTCCCCAGGTAAGGCCCACTGAGTTGCTATATCGCCCTTTCTTCAGAAGCCATCACAAATGGTAGCTCAAGGAAGTGCATTGTCATCATCATCGTCACGTGGAACGCTTCTAGCAGCCCGAATACTCGGAACGAGTGACGTTGATTCGACATGCGGAGGGAAAAAACTGGAGGACCCGGAGAAACATCCACGTGACCACGGAGAGAGCGAGAGAGACACAAACTCCAAATGTGCAGCTGGCGTCAGGGTCGGGATCGAACCCACGACCTCTTGCGTGCCAGGCGAGGGAGTCAACATCTCCTAGCCACCGATGCACCGCTCAGAAACTGCGTTATGACGGTGCACACTTCCACGTAGTCTGACAAGTTTTCCCGAATGGAAGAAGCGCTTGGCAGCGAACACCCGTTCGAGCGTGAACGCCACGAAGTTGAACAGCCGTGGTGGAAGGACCCACTGAGCTATTAGTTTTATTTTGTTCAGAAGCGACCTTGCCATCACAAATGATAGCTCAACGAAGCGGGCTTATCATCATCGTCACGTGGAAATTCATAGCGGTAGCCAAATGACTGTAGACTCGCTACGTTGATTCTAAACAACAATAACAACAGCAGCAGCAGCAGCATCATCGGCAACAGTCCCAGACTGCACCAACACAACAACAATAACAACAACACGCGGTCCCTCAATTCGATTGCACTTGAAAATTGTCCGGATCGATGGTACACAGCGGGTAAGGGTCAAATTTACAAATCACATTTCGCCCGGTGCGGCTGGACTGGGCTGGGCGCCAACAGTGAAAGAATAAATTGGTTGTAAATAATAAATAAACATTGTTACGGACCTTCACCTGTGCGTACATTTGAAAATAAAACTCAACACATTTGTCCGAACACACTGTGGGCTTCAAAGGGAGAACTTAAATATATAAACGTTTCGGACAATGGACCTTTGTTAGAGCGCGTAACAACGTGCCCAAAACGTCGACATGTTCCGTATTTTTTTTTCCTTTTAAAGCCACTGTGGTGTTGGCACGGAACGTGTTGAATTGTTGTTGTTGTTATTGCTTGTGCACTGCCAATGCAGCAGTGGCATCGCCAAACGATGCGCACATTTTCAAAATCCACGAACTGCATACCGTGAGTCGCGATCGACGTTCTCGGCTGAGGTCGCGCGATGCTCTGGAGAAACGTTGTGTCGTCGAGACCCTCCACCACGCAGCACGGCCAAACAAATTTAATCGCCACTCGCGCTCCTAAGCGTTGTAACTGCGCGCCGATTCATTGCACTCGATGTCAATCGTCGTCCGGGCTGGCTCGCTCGCCGGAGAGTTGAAGAGCAATTCTAATTCGGCAGTAATGCATCGCTAAGTGAATTACTTTAATTAATACTCATGGAAGTTGATTATCACCGAGTGAATTTCGTTAATTATAAACTCTATAAAAAATGAGAATCAAGCCCAGGAATGCATCGCTAAGTGGATTATGTGAAAACAACAACTGTCAATTGATGAAACATTTGCACAGTTTAATTTCTATTGGGTCACGGTGGTCTCATAGCGCTGCCGCCATTTCGTACCCACCATATCCCACAATGGTCCCACCATGGTTCCCACAATGGTCCCACCTTGGTCCCAACATTCACCATGGTCCCACCTTGCCCCACTATGGTCCCACCTTGGTCCCACCTTGCCCCACTCTGGTCCCACCTTGGTCCCACCTTGCCCCACTATGGTCCCACCTTGGTCCCACCTTGTCCCACCTTGGTACCACCTTGTCCCACCTTGTCCCACCATATCCCACAATGGTCCCAGCTTGGTCCCACCTTGGTCCCACCTTGTCCCACCATGGTCCCACAATGGCCCCACCTTGCCCCACTATGGACCCACCTTGGTCCCACCTTGTCCCACCTTGTCCCACCTTGGTCCCACCTTGTCTCACTATGGTCCCACCTTGGTCCCGCATGATCCCACATGATCCCACCTTGGTCCCACCATAGTCCCCACATGTTCTCACCTTGGTCACACAATGGTCCCACCATGGTTCCCACAATGGTCTCACCTTGGTCCGAACATTCACCATGGTCCCACCATGGCCCCACCATGGTCCCCCACATGGTCCCACTATATCCCACCATGGTCTCACCTTGGTCCCACCATGGTCCCACATGGTCCCACCATGGTCCCACCATCGGCCTACCTTGGTCTCACCTTGGCCCCACCATGGTCCCACCATGGTCCCACTATGGTCCCACCTTGGTCCCACCTTGGTCCCACCATGGCCCCACAATGGTCCCACAGTGGTCCGTGGTCCCACGATCCGTGCCGTGACGAGCGCAGAGCGACGCCGGCGCAGAGCGGTGGCGCAGCGGTGAGCGCGCTCATCGCTTACACAACCCGCCGGGGAAACCCGCGTTCGATCCCCGTTCGCGGCCAACACCAATGACGCCCGTCCGAACCCATCCCGCGTGCCTCTCCTCCCCTAGATAGACTCGGCCTCAAATGAATACATGTGGTGCGAAGCGGAGACTAAATCTATGGAAACAATGTTTTTGTTTCACCAGGTAAGGCCCACTGAGCTATGTAGCTCTTTTCCAGAAGCTACCGGGCGATCACACACGATGGCCCCATGACCACTCATCACCACGTGACCACGGGGAGAGAAAGAGACACGCAAACTCCAAATGATTCTTATGGCGGAACCCCGGGGTACCAAATAATACAGGATGGCCGAGGCAATTAAATATTTTATTTCTGGGCCACTATTTTTATTTTTCGCCAGGGGTGTACTTCACTCCGCGACTGGGGTAACAATCAATCCGACATCGGTGCCACAGCCCGCGATGTCGACACGCGGCGAGGACGATGGCGCCGAAACCCCGAACGCTCGCGGCACGCCCCGTGGCGGTGGTGGTGGTGGTGGTGCATCGTGAGTACAGCTCGTCCAGATGAGTCGACTGCCACGTCGCCGACCATCAACAGGCCAAGAATGACCGCGTCACGGACATTGCGCGAGAGCCGGGATACTACGGTACCCCCGGGTCATCGCCATAGAGTTCAAATTTACAGCAGGCGTCGGGGTCTGAACGGAACCCCCAGACCTCCTGTGTACCTGCCAAGGTAATTAACATCTCCGAGCCGCCGTGGCACCCCCAGACAAAGGCGGCCGGGACGTGGCGCTGGCCAGCCCAACACGCCCGCCCCCTCAGTGCGCCGTGGCCGGGCCTTGGTAGGCGGCTGGCCGCTCACTCGCGGCGCTCTTCGGGCTCTGGCGATCCCCTTGACCCTCCGTGCCGCCCGCGCCGCCCGCAGGTCCTTCCACCTGCGGCTGCGGCGAGACTCCTCCCTCTTTGTGGACGACTTCCGGGTGGAGACGAGCGGCGCGGTGGAGACGTACGACACGTCGCACATCTACACGGGCTCGCTGCACGGTGAGCCCACACGTCTACACGCGGCGCGTCTACACGTGGCACGTCTACACGTGGCACGTCTACACGTGGCACGTCTACACGTGGCACGTCTACACGTGGCACGTCTACATGGTGAGCCCACACGTCTACACGGTGAGCCCACACGTCTACACGTGGCACGTCTACACGTGGCACGTCTACACGTGGCACGTCTACATGGTGAGCCCACACGTCTGCACGGTGAGCCCACACGTCTACACGCGGCGCGTCTACACGTGGCACGTCTACACGTGGCACGTCTACACGTGGCACGTCTACATGGTGAGCCCACACATCTACACGTGGCACGTCTACACGTGGCACGTCTACACGTGGCACGTCTACACGTGGCACGTCTACACGTGGCACGTCTACACGTGGCACGTCTACACGTGGCACGTGTAGACGTGACACGTCTACACGTGACACGTGTAGACGTGACACGTGTAGACGTGTCACGTCTACACGTGACACGTCTTACACGGTGAGCCCACACGTCTACACGGGCTCGCTGCACGGTGAGACGGGGGTGGGGTGAGGGGTGGGGTGGGGGGTGACTGGGGGGGGGGGGCATTGGGTTGACCCTGGGGGTGGGGGTGAGCCGGGCCATGTTAGTCTATGAACAATGTTAGTCTATGGGAAAGGGTAATATTTGGGCAATATTAGTCTATAGACAATGTTAGTCTATGGGCAATGTAAGTCTAAAGGAAAGGGTAATCTATGGGCAATGTTAGTCTATGGCAATGTTAGTCTTTAGGCAATGTTAGTCTATGGGCAATGTTAGTCTATAGGAAAGGGTAATCTATGGGCAATGTTAGTCTATGGCAATGTTAGTCTTTAGGCAATGTTAGTCTATGGGCAATGTTAGTCTATAGGAAAGGGTAATCTATGGGCAATGTTAGTCTTTAGTTATTGTTTGTCTTTGGGCATAGTAAGTCTATGGACAATGTAAGTCTTTGGGCAATGTTAGTCTACAGGCATCTATGGGCAATGTTAGTCTATAGGCAATGTTAGTCTATAGGCAATGCTAGTCTATGGGCAATGCTAGTCTTTGGGAAATGTTAGTCTATAGGCAATGTTAGTCTATGGGCAATGCTAGTCTATGGGCAATGCTAGTCTTTGTGCAATGTTAGTCTATAGGCAATGCTAGTCTATAGGCAATGTTAGTCTATGGGCAATGTTAGACTGTAGGCAATGTTAGTCTATAGGCAATGCTAGTCTATGGGCAATGCTAGACTGTAGGCAATGTTAGTCTATAGGCAATGTTAGTCTATGGGCAATGCTAGTCTTTGGGAAATGTTAGTCTATAGGCAATGCTAGTCTATGGGCAATGCTAGTCTATAAGCAATGCTAGTCTTTGGGCAATGTTAGTCTATAGGCAATGTTAGTCTATAGGCAATGCTAGTCTATAAGCAATGCTAGTCTTTGGGCAATGTTAGTCTATAGGCAATGCTAGTCTATAGGCAATGTTAGTCTATAGGCAATGTTAGTCTATAGGCAATGCTAGCCTTTGGGCAATGTTAGTCTATTGGCAATGCTAGTTTATGGGCAATGCTAGTCTATGGGCAATGTTAGTCTATAGGCAATGTTAGTGTATAGGCAATGCTATTTTATAGACAATGCTAGTCTTTGGGCAATGGTAGTCTATAGGCAATGTTAGTCTATAGGCAATGTTAGTCTATAGGCAATGTTAGTCTATGGCAATGTTAGTCTATAGGCAATGCTAGTCTTTGGGCAATGTTAGTCTACAGGCAATGCTAGTCTATAGGCAATGTTAGTCTATGGGCAATATTAGTCTATAGGCAATGCTAGTCTTTGGGCAATGTTAGTCTATAGGCAATATTAGTCTATGGGCAATGTTAGTCTTTGGGCAATATTAGTCTATAGGCAATGCTAGTCTATCGGCAATGTTAGTCTATAGGCAATGCTAGTCTATCGGCAATGTTAGTCTATGGGCAATGTTAGTCTATAGGCAATGTTAGTCTATAGGCAATGCTAGTCTATAGGCATGCTAGTCTATAGGCAATGCTAGTCTATAGGCAATGCTAGTCTTTGTGCAATGTTAGTCTTTGTGCAATGTTAGTCTATGGGCAATGTTAGTCTATAAGCAATGTTAGTCTATAGGCAATGTTAGTCTATGGGCAATGTTAGTCTATGGGCAATGTTAGTCTATAAGCAATGTTAGTCTATAGGCAATGTTAGTCTATGGGCAATGTTAGTCTATAAGCAATGTTAGTCTATAGGCAATGTTAGTCTATGGGCAATGTTAGTCTATGGGCAATGTTAGTCTATGGGCAATGTTAGTCTATAAGCAATGTTAGTCTATAGGCAATGTTAGTCTATGGGCAATGTTAGTCTATGGGCAATGTTAGTCTATAGGCAATGTTAGTCTATGGGCAATGTTAGTCTATAGGCAATGTTAGTCTATGGGCAATGTTAGTCTATAAGCAATGTTAGTCTATAGGCAATGTTAGTCTATGGGCAATGTTAGTCTATAGGCAATGTTAGTCTATAGGCAATGTTAGTCTATGGGCAATGTTAGTCTATAGGCAATGCTAGTCTATAGACAATGCTAGTCTATAGGCATGCTAGTCTATAGGCAATGCTAGTCTATAGGCAATGCTAGTCTTTGTGCAATGTTAGTCTTTGTGCAATGTTAGTCTATGGGCAATGTTAGTCTATAAGCAATGTTAGTCTATAGGCAATGTTAGTCTATGGGCAATGTTAGTCTATGGGCAATGTTAGTCTATAAGCAATGTTAGTCTATAGGCAATGTTAGTCTATGGGCAATGTTAGTCTATAAGCAATGTTAGTCTATAGGCAATGTTAGTCTATGGGCAATGTTAGTCTATGGGCAATGTTAGTCTATGGGCAATGTTAGTCTATAAGCAATGTTAGTCTATAGGCAATGTTAGTCTATGGGCAATGTTAGTCTATGGGCAATGTTAGTCTATAGGCAATGTTAGTCTATGGGCAATGTTAGTCTATAGGCAATGTTAGTCTATGGGCAATGTTAGTCTATAAGCAATGTTAGTCTATAGGCAATGTTAGTCTATGGGCAATGTTAGTCTATAGGCAATGTTAGTCTATAGGCAATGTTAGTCTATGGGCAATGTTAGTCTATAGACAATGTTAGTCTATGGGCAATGTTAGTCTATGGGCAATGTTAGTCTATGGGCAATGTTAGTCGATGGACCGCACAGCAAAACCGCTGTGGTCTGTGCTGCTTCACCGGAGGTAGGAGGAGGAACGTCAAAACGACACGAGAACTCTCCCTGTGGTGAATCTCTGCCCCCCCCCCCCCGCACGGTGCCAGGCGAGCCGGGATCGTGGTGCCACGGCTCGGTGCTGAGCGGGCGCTTCGAGGGCGTCGTGACGACCGGCACGGACGGCACCTTTTACGTGGAGCCGGCGGAGCGCTACCCGGAGACAGGCGCCACCACCGCCACCACCGCCACCACCGCCACCACCGCCACCACCGCCACAACCACCACCGCCGCCACCACCGCTGCCACCACCGCCGCCGCTGCCACCACCGCACCCTTCCATTCCGTCATCTACCACGAGGACGACATTGGTGAAATGATGATGATGACGACGATGATGATGACGACGATGACGATGACAATAGTGATGACGACGATGACGAAGATAATGACGATGACAACGATAAGGACGACAACGACGATGAGGAGGATGGTGATGACAACGATGATGATGACGACGAGGATGATGATGACGACGACGACGAGGATGATGACGACGACGACGATAATGACGACGATGATAATCAACGATGATGATGGTGGCGACGACGATAATGACGACGATGATAATCAACGATGATGGTGATGACAACGACGACATCGACGACGACGACGACGACGACGATAATGACGACGATGATAATCAACGATGATGATGATGATGATGCGACAGCCACCGCCGTTGCTGCCTTGCGGCGAGGGCGCAAGATCGCTTCGCTGGTCGTCGTCATCATTGTCGTCCTCGTCGTTATCTTCGTCGTCATCAGGGGGTTGCTCGTTGTGTCTCTGCTCAGACGGCCCCCGCGACCACAGCGGCGGCCGCGGGGAGGGTGGCGGCTGCGCCAGTGGTGCAGTCTTCCAGCGCATGGCCGCGTTCCAGCGCCGCGCGGGGCACGCGGAAGATGACGACGGAGCCCGCGACGAGGTCAGCGCGGCGGCGGCGAGATGCTCACTCGGCTAGACAATGTTTTTATTTCACCAGGTAAGGCCCGCTGAGCTACGTAGCTCTTTTTCGGAAGCGACCCTAGCTATTACAAATGGTAGCTCAACGAAAGTGGCTCATCATCATCATCACGTGGAAGTGTATGGCAGCCAAATGCAAGAGATGATGTTGATTCTAAATGTGGGAGGGAAAAACCGGAGGACCCGGAGAAAAATCCATGCGACCACGGTGAGAGAGAGAGAGAGATGCAGGCATCAGGGTTGGAATCGAACCCACGACCTCCTGCATATCAGACGATTGGGTTAACAACTTTCCACCTGGGATACAGGAGGTCATGGGTTCGATCCCGACCCTGACGCCTGCTGTGCATTTGGAGTTTTGCGTGTCTCTCTCTCTCTCTTCCCGTGGTCGTGTGAAATTTTCTTGGGTCCTCCGGATTTTCCCTCCACATTGAGAATCGACACCACGCATTTCGAGTATTTCGCTGCTAAAATGTCCACGTGATAAGTCGCTTCGTTGAGCTACAATTTGTCATGGGCAGGTCCCTTCTGAAGGATAGCTATGTAGCTCAGTGGGCCTTAACCTGGTAAAATAAAATAAAATGTTTAAAATGTAAGAGTTTTAGTTTATCTCGAATGTGTTTGAGATGAGATGTTGTACCCTGCACACACACAAACAACCCTGAGCCGGTGGTGGACATTCCACATTCCTATGATGGGGTGGAGGTGATTCTAGAAACTTCCACGGGGGAGTGGGGGGGCAGGAGAGGGCAGAGCAGGGCTCATGTCAAAAATATCAAGCTTTTTATAAACCGGGCATGAATAAAAACTTTCAGTGTAATTCAGGCAGATGTTCCGGATCCATACTTGAGTCCCAGCCAGTTTTGTCAGACTTAACACAGCGCTGCTGCTGCTGTTGTTGTTCTGAAGGGTTTACTGTGCGATCATCAGCGTGGTAGCGCTTCCGTCGTGGGCTGGCCTCATCACCGAGAGTGCGCGATAATAAATGTTCAGACTTGCTGGTTCCCCTGTGTAGCCTTAAACAAACTGTTGGGTGAAAGTGCTGTTAGCGAGCGCCTATGAAGGCTGGAACGGCGCACGAGGGCTGGGTGGCCAGCACCACGCCCGGCCGCCTTTGTCTCCCCAGTGGTGACGTTGGCACACCGCACCAGGTACTCATTTTAGGCTGAGTGGACCTAGGGGAGGCCCAGGACCAGTTCAGATAAACGTCACTGGTGTTGGGCATGAGCAGACATCGAACCCAGGGGTGCTGGGTGTGTAGCAAAGTGTGCTAACCGCTACACTACTCCTCCTTCCACACACTCGTAAAACAACAAAGACAAAGATCCCCCGTATAGCATTAACAGACTGTTGGGGCGTGTGCCGTTAGCGAGTGGCACCTATGAAGGCCGGAACGGCACACAAAGGGGGTGGGTGGCCAGCACCACGCCCAGCCGCCTTTGTCTCCCCAGTGGCGATGTTTACATATTGCATCAGGTACCGCTCCTTCCATATACACACACACACACGGGCACACACACGGGCACACACACGGGCACACACACGGGCACACACACACGCGCGTCCTCACAGCCAAACATCACTCACCACCCTCCCCTTATCAAACTATTCGGTGATGCTGCTGCCGCTTTGGCAGCGGTGCACGGGCGCAGTTAGCGACAAGAACAACGAGAAAACTCTCAAACGGAATGGGCGTGCGATGTTGGCCGTCATGGCGCAGAGCGGCGGCGGCGGCGGTGGCGGTGCTGCGGTGCGTGGCACACGCAGCGTCCCGGGGGACAGGAACACGTGCCTCCTCTTCATCCAGGCCGACCACTTCTTCCACAAGTTCTACGGCAGCCTCGAGGCCGTCATCGCACAGGTGAGCGACGCGCGCGTGCGCGTGCCGCCGCCGCGCCACATCGACGATTATGTTAACTCGGGCCTCCCCAAGGTCGACTTGGCCTCAATTGAGTACCCGGTGCGGTGTGTAAACATCGCCACTCGGGAGACAAGGGCGCGCCGGGCGTGGTGCTGACCACCCACCCCCTCGTGCGCTGTTCCGGCCTTCGTAGGTGCTCGCTTAAAAGCACTTGCCCCAACGGGTCCGTTAATGGCTAAACGGGTGGACCTTGGTCTCTTTGTCAGTTTTGCGTCACACGCGTGTTTCTCCGCGTGCGTCAGATTGCGAGCCACGTGAGGGCGATCGACAGCATCTACCAGAACACCAACTTCAACGGAATCCGGGGCATCAACTTCATGGTGAAGAGGGTCCGGGTGAGTCGCCGCCGTCCGTCGTGCGCAGGGCCGCACGCAGAGGCTCCTCGGGGCCCTGGACAGGACAATATTGTTTTTATTTATTTTTTCTTTTCCAGGTAAGGCCCCCAACTGAGCTGCGTAGCTATTTTTCCGGAAGCAACCTGCCCATCGCAAATGATAGCTCGACAGAACCGGCTCATCGCGTGCAAATGTACAGCGGCATGATGTCGATTCCAGACGTCGAGGGAAAAACCGGAGTCGCCCCGGAGAAAAATTCACGCGACCAGATAGAACTCACGACCTCCTGCGTACCAGGCGAGGTAGTCAACATCTCCTGGCCACCGTGGAATGTCCCTCGCTTGGCCCCCCCCACCGCCCCTCCCCCCTCCTGGCCCACCCCCCTGCCCCCCCTGGCCTGCTCGCGAGTCTGTTGTGTCAACGCAAGCCGGACAGCGCTGCGATCAGAATGCTCGAGATCACAATGAGGCGGCGGCGGCGGAGGTTTCAGTCCCCCTGTAGGCTGCCGACTCATCCCCATCATACCCACTAAGGCTGGGGGTGGATAACGCAAGTTCTATGTTATTGTGGAAAGTAACACAGTGGGTCGCGATGCGCAACGATCGCGGTCATGATAAGAGCACCTGTGATTACCGCGGTTGGCTATGTACGGTGCAAAAGAAGTTCAACATACATACGACACGAACGAATACGTTATATGGTCGCGCGTTTCAGATGCCGCTTCTGCGGCCGTCTGGAATGCTCTTCCGATGTTAAGAAGCCACTTTTAAATTATCATCTAGATCGACAAACTCATTTCTTTCAAACTGCTTTTTGTGTTTAGTTTGTTGTCCTTCCCCCGCACTCCAGATTAGCACGGTTGGATATGTACGGTGCAAAAGAAGTTCAACATTTATACTGCCCATAGACTCAACATTACCCACAGACTCAACACTGCCCATAGACTCAACACTGCCCATAGACTCAACACTGCCCATAGACTCAACACTGCCCCAAAGACCCAACACTGCCCACAGACTCAACACTGCCCACAGACTCAACACTGCCCATAGACTCAGCACTGCCCATAGACTCAACACTGCCCATAGACTCAACACTGCCCATACACTCAACACTGCCTACAGACTCAACACTGCACCATAGACTCAACACTGCCCATAGACTCAACACTGCACCATAGACTCAACACTGTCCATAGACTCATCACTGCCCACAGACTCAACACTGCCCATAGACTCAGCACTGCCCATAGACTCAACACTGCCCATAGACTCAACACTGCCCATAGACTCAGCACTACCCATAGACTCAACACTGCCCATAGACTCAACACTGCCCATAGACTCAACACTACCAATAGACTCAACACTGCCCATAGACTCAACACTGCCTACAGACTCAACACTGCACCATAGACTCAACACTGCCCACAGACTCGACACTGCACCATAGACTCAACACTGCCCATAGACTCAGCACTACCCATAGACTCAACACTGCCCATAGACTCAACACTGTCCATAGACTCAACACTGCCCACAGACTCAACACTGCCCATAGACTCAACACTGCCCATAGACTCAACACTGCCTACAGACTCAACACTGCACCATAGACTCAACACTGCCCACAGACTCGACACTGCACCATAGACTCAACACTGCCCATAGACTCAGCACTACCCATAGACTCAACACTGCACCATAGACTCAACACTGTCCATAGACTCAACACTGCCCACAGACTCAACACTGCCCATAGACTCAGCACTGCCCATAGACTCAACACTGCCCATAGACTCAACACTGCCCATAGACTCAGCACTACCCATAGACTCAACACTGCCCATAGACTCAACACTGCCCATAGACTCAACACTACCAATAGACTCAACACTGCCCATAGACTCAACACTGCCTACAGACTCAACACTGCACCATAGACTCAACACTGCCCATAGACTCAACACTGCCTACAGACTCAACACTGCACCATAGACTCAACACTGCCCACAGACTCGACACTGCCCATAGACTCAACACTGCCCATAGACTCAGCACTGCCCATAGACTCAACACTGCCCATAGACTCAACACTACCAATAGACTCAACACTGCACCATAGACTCAACACTGCCTACAGACTCAACACTGCACCATAGACTCAACACTGCCCATAGACTCAACACTGCCCATAGACTCAACACTGCACCATAGACTCAACACTGCACCTCCCATTAGCACGGTTGACTTTGAACGGCGCGACATCAGAGTACACGCAGGAAGTCCAACGTCGCCGTCGTGAACGCCGCGAGCAGATCAACGGCACGGAGGAGGAGCGCGACCCCACGAACCCGTTCCGCTTCGCCAACATCGGCGTCGAGAAGTTCCTGGAGCTCAACTCGGAGCAGAACCACAACGACTACTGCCTCGCCTACGTCTTCACCGACCGCGACTTCGACGACGGCGTCCTCGGCCTCGCGTGGGTCGGCGCGCCCGCCGGTGAGCCGCACGCCGCGGCCGCGGTGGCGTCCGACGCTACGGCAGCGCCGTGAGGTTTGAGACTCTCGGACGAAATCACCGATCGGAGATTTGCTTGCCCCCTCCCCACGCCCCCTACCCCCCCCCCCCCCCCCCCCCCGTACATGGAAGAGAGTAAGGTGCAGCATTGGCCAAAGGGGGGGGGGGGGGGCTGTTGTATTTGCGGCATGCGTATGGTCACCGCGGATCGCGAATCGAGGTTAATCGCCGTGTCGATGCGGGCGGCTCCGTCGATCCGGCAGCCAGCTCAAAGTTGATTGGGTGGGCCCTGTCAAAAATGTAGATTCGTCGTCATTCGATGCCATTGGCAATGGATTCGTTGGCAAGTGATTCTTGGATCGAGTAGTCGTATGATACGCCCCCTTCAATTGAGTGGCTTAACATCAACAAGATCGGTGATTCTATCACAGTCCACTTTTATTGTACCACAGCGCCAAGGTGCCTAGGAGATGTTGACTACCTTGCCTGGTATACAGGAGGTCGTGGGTTCCATCCCCACCCTGACGCCTGCTGCTGTATATTTGGAGTTTGCGTGTCTCTCTCTCATCATCATCACGGTGGCTAGGAGATGTTAACTACCTCGCCTGGTGTACAGGAGGTCGTGAGTTCCATCCTGACCCTGATGCCTGCTGCTGTATATTTGGAGTTTGCGTGTCTCTCCCCTCTCACCGTAGTCCCGTTGAAAAATTTCCGGGTCCCTCCGGTTTTTCCCCTCCGCGTTTAGAATCAACATCACGCGTTTAGAGTATTTGGCTGATATAAATTTTCCCGTGATGATGATAAGGCACTCAGTTGAGCTATCATTCTTGATAGCCAGGTTGCTTCTGAAAATAATCTATATATAGCTCAGTGGGCCTTACCTGGACAAATAATTTTTAAAATGTGTTTTTAGAAGTGTAGTTTCAGCCAACACGATAGGAGTGCAAAGTAGAGAAAAAGGTCACGAATATAAAGAATGCACCAATTACTGAATTATTACGTCTGATTTATCAAGCTTGGGCAAGGCAGCAGAAATCACAACGAAGCAGCCCCAGATCACACCAAGACAACGCGCAGCAGCAGTCGCTCACTAAAGTGGCACATTAACACGGAACTACCGTTTGTTGACCCGTTCCCGTGACGTGCCGTGTACATCATCCAGAAAAACTAAAATGCAATAACTTCATCGGTACCGAGGCTCTCGCAAGGCCACGCGGGAGGGGCGTGCGTGACCCGGTTTGGCGCTATGGTTCTCCGCGGTGATTGACGACGTCTTTTAAAAAGTGCGTCGCCGCCGCCGCTGCTGCGCCCCTGGAAACAAAATGAACGTCGAGCCGCTCGCGCGTCCCGAGACCCGGCGTCGAACGGGTAACACCCGCCGCCCTGCGGCCTGCGGACGTCATCGGAAACGCGAAAAGGGTTCGTGAGCGCGTGCTCGTCGTCACGCGCCCGGGGTACGAACCTGGCGGTTCGACTGCCCGCTCGCGGCCAACGCCCAACGACGAATGTCGGGGTCCGCAGGGAGCTCGGGCGGCATCTGCGAAAAGAACAAGCTGTACTCGGACGGGAAGAGGAAGTCGCTGAACACGGGCATCATCACGGTGAAGAACTACGGAGCGCACGTGCCTCCTAAGGTGTCGCATATCACCTTCGCCCACGAGATCGGCCACAACTTCGGCTCGCCGGTGAGAGACGACGCGCCACGGGGAGACGGGGAGACGGGGAGACGGGGAGACGGGGAGACGGGGAGACGGGGAGACGGGGAGACGTGACGCGGGGACACTTGGAGAGACGCGTGCGGGGAGACGCGCGGGGAGACGCGCGCGGGGAGACATGCGCGGGGAGACGCGCGCGGGGAGACACACCAGGAGACACACCAGGAGACACACCAGGAGACACACCAGGAGACACACCAGGAGACACACCAGGAGACACACCAGGAGACACACCAGGAGACACACCAGGAGACACACCAGGAGACACACCAGGAGACACACCAGGAGACACACCAGGAGACACACCAGGAGACACACCAGGAGACACACCAGGAGACACGCTGATGAATAAATGTCCGGATGATCCTCTAAATGAAAGGACGGTAAATGGACGAACAAATGTGACAGTGGGCTGGCGTGCGTGCGTCCGCAGCACGACTCGGGCCTGGATTGCACCCCGGGGACGTCGCTGAGCCCCGACGCCAAGGAGCGCGGGAACTTCATCATGTACGCACGCGCCACCTCGGGCGACCGGCCCAACAACAACCGCTTCTCGCCGTGCAGCATGCGCAACATCAGCCTCGTGCTCGCCTCCAAGCGCCACCACTGCTTCGTCGGCAAGTGGCCCGGCGCTCTCGTACGTGCGCGTGTGTGAGAGTGTGCGGGGAGCGGTGGCGCAGCGGTTAGCGCGCTGCGCTACGAACCCGGCGATCCGGGTTCGATTCCCGCTCACGGCCAACACCGGTGACGATTATCTGATCCGGTCCTGGGCGTCCGCTAGGTCGACCTCAAATGAGTACCTGGTGCGGTGTGTGAGCATCTCCATCGGGGAGACAAAGGCGGCCGGGCGTGGTTTTGGCCACCCACCCCCTCGTGTGCCGTGCCGGCCTTCATAGGCGCTGCTGCTCGCCAACGGAACTTGCCCCAACAGTCTGTTACAGGCTACACGGGGGATCTTTCCCGAGCCAGCTTAGCCGCAGCTTGGGGTGTCTCGGCACGGCTCGGCACGGCTCGGCACGTGTCGGTGGAGAGGAGGCATGAGAGTGAGGCTCGCCGGGCATCCACAGTGCTCACCCTCCTGTGTCCCCCTCCCCCCATGCCGACTCGGGGCTGCAGAGTCTGGGAACCCCATCTGTGGGAACGGCATCGTGGAGGAGGGAGAGGAGTGCGACTGCGGCTACCGGGACCAGTGCCGTGACCAGTGCTGCCACAATGCTGACGAGGAGCAGAGCAAGCGGTGCCGTCTGAGACCCGGCATGCAGTGCAGGTGGTTCACACGTTGGGGCCCCTCGCGCGCGCACGCACGTGCGTGTGTGTACGTACGTACGTGTGTGTGCGTGCGTGTGTGTACGTACGCGTGTGTGCGTGTGGGGAAGTAAGCGACTGCGTAACGTTTAAGCGCCACCGGGCGCGCGGTCAACATCGGTGACGAATGTCCGAACCGGTCTTCGGCCTCTCCCCTAAGCCGCCGCCTCTCCTAAGGAGGTCGACTCGGCACCTAATGGGCGCCGCGGTGGCTGGGAGATGTTAACTACCTCGCCTGGTACGCAGGAGGTCGTGGGTTCGATCCCGACCCTGACGCCTGTTGCTGCTGTATATTTGGAGTTTGTTTGTCTCTCTCTCTCTCTGTGGTTGCGTGGATTTTTCTCCGGGTCCTCCGGTTTTTCCCTCCACATTTAGAGTCGACGTCATCACGCGTTTAGAGTGTTTGGCTGCTGTCGTTTTCCACGTGATGATGATGATGATAAGCCAACTTCGTTGAGCTATCATTTGTAATGGCCAGGTCGTTTCCGAAAAAGAGCCTAGTAAAATAAAACAATAGTTTAAATGGTGTCAATGGTTTAAAATCATTTAAATGGTTTCATAGTAAAATCTTTTAAATGCGTTCCCAGTTTGACATGTAAACGGCAGCACTGGGGAGAATCAGAATATCTATACTGGAGGAATCTGATGAGCCATGAAGCTCTTTCTCACAGATGTCCAGTGAGAGGGGCACGTGGTCAGAACACGACGGGAGTGCACAGTCTAGGAAAAACTAAAACAAAACCCTAACAAAACAATATCATGTAAAACTAAACAAAATAATCTTACCAAGTCAATCCCACTGAGGTGTGAATGATAGCTCAACCAAGCCGGCGGGGAGCGGCCCCGGCCACACCGCCCCCTTCATCGGCGCTCGCTCGCTCGCTCGCTCCCCCAGCACTTGCCCAAACGGCCCGTGCAGGCCTTCGCGGTGGGGGTTGAACCTTTGCCTTCGTCGCCGTGTCGCCAGCCCCTCCCAGGGTCCGTGCTGCACGCGGCAGTGCCGCTACCGCGGTGCCGCCGAGACGTGCCGCAACGCGTCGGAGTGTGCGCTGGACGGGCGCTGCGACGGGCGCTCCGCCCCGTGCCCGCCGTCGCCCCCGCGCACCGACTTCACCGTGTGCAACGCGGGCACGCAGGTGTGCCTCAAGGGGGTACGTGCCATCGCCGCCGTTGGCGGCACCACCAGCACCACCAGCACCACCAGCACCACCAGCAGCACCAGCACCGCCAGCACCACCACCACCAGCACCACCACCAGCAGCACCACCAGCGCCACCAGCACCACCAGCACCGCCAGCACCACCACCACCAGCACCACCACCACCAGCGCCACCAGCACCACCAGCGCCACCAGCACCAGCACCACCACCACCAGCACCACCAGCAGCACCAGCACCGCCAGCACCACCACCACCAGCACCACCAGCACCACCAGCACCACCAACAGCAGCAGCATCGTGAACATGGTCATCACCACCAACGACATCACCACTATTGTGTTTTCGTCATCGTCGTCGTCGTCACCGCCGGCTCACGTGCCCCCCGCCGTGCCCCCCGCCGTGCCCCCCGCCGTGCCCCCCACGGTGCCCCCCGCCGTGCCCCCCGCCGTGCCCGCAGCTGTGCGAGGGCTCCATCTGCGAGCGCTACGGCCTGGAGGAGTGTGCCTGCGCCAACGCCGACGACCAGGAGCTCTGCCACGTGTGCTGCATGGAGCGGGGTGAGGCACCCTGCACCCTGCACCCTGCACCCTGCACCCTGCACCCTGCACCCTGCACCCCGCACCCTGCACCCTGCACCCTGCACCCTGCACCCTGCACCCCGCACCCTGCACCCTGCACCCTGCACCCTGCACCCTGCACCCTGCACCCTGCACCCTGCACCCTGCATCTCCATCGCCCTCTCCACTGGGGACACCCCCTCTAACACACCCCACACACACCCCCTCTAACACACCCCCTCTAACACACCCCCTCTAACATACCCCCCACACACCCCCCACACACCCCCACACACCCCCCACACTCTCCACACACACACCCTCTCTAACACACCCCACACACACCCCCTCTAACACACCCCACACACCACACACACACACCCCACACACCCCCACACACCCCCACACACCCCCACACACCCCCACACACCCCCACACACCCCCACACAACCCCCACACAACCCCCACACTCTCCACACACACCCACACACCCCCCCCCACACACCCCCACACACACCCCCCACACACCCCACACACACACCCCCACACACCCCCCCACACCCCCCACACCCCACACACCCCACACACCCCCCACACTCTCCACACACACCCACACACCCCCCCCACACACCCCCCACACACCCCCCACACACCCCCCACACACCCCCACACCCCCCACACACCCCCACACAACCCCCACACTCTCCACACCCACCCACACACCTCCCCACACACCCTCCACACACCCCCACACTCTCCACACACCCCCCACACCCCCACACACCCCCACACAACCCCCCACACTTTCCACACACCGCCCCGAGTTCTGGAGTTGTCGCCGTGCCGAATCAACGTGGAACCTCCTCACAGCCTCGCCCCTCCGCGACCCCCTCCGCGACCCCTCCCAGGCAATGGCGACTCGTGCTCCAGCACAGGCTCGGACAGCTGGCACCGCTTCTTCTCGGGCCACGTGGTGACGCTGCAGCCGGGCGCCGCCTGCAACGACTTCCGCGGCTACTGTGACGTGTTCTCGCGCTGCCGCCTCGTCGACGCCGATGGCCCCCTGGCGCGCCTCCGCAAGGCCATCTTCGACCCGCAGCTCTACGAGACCATCGCCGAGTGGATCGTCGTGAGTGCCGCCGCCGGCGCCGGCGCCGTGCCGCGTGACTCCGGCGCACGATGGCCTGCTCGTATCGATCGGCGTTGGGGGGGGGGGGGTCTCTCTGCCGTCCGCCGCGGCGCTTATTTGCCGTTGACAGAATGGGTGTTTATACTGCAAGGGGGAATCCGATGAGCTGTGTGAAGCTCTGTCCAGATGTCCAGTAGGGGCACGGGGTCAGAAGACGCTCGCGAACTTGGCCAGCAGGAACACACGTTCGCCGACCGCGTGACCCCCCCCCCCCCCCACCGTTACCCCCCCCCCACCGTGACCCCCCACCGTGATCTCCCCCCCCCCAGGCCTACTGGTGGGCCGTGCTACTGATGGCGCTGGCGCTGGTGCTACTCATGGCGGCGTTCATCCGCGTGTGCAGCGTCCACACCCCCACCAGCAACCCCACGCTGCCCCGGCACAAACCACTGCCAGGTGCCAGCACCGCACGCACCGTACACACCACACGTACCACACACACGCACCACACACACCACACGTACCGCACGCACCACACACACCACACGTACCACACACACGCACCACACACACCACACGTACCGCACGCACCACACACACCACACGTACCACACACACGCACCACACACACCACACGTACCACACACACGCACCGCACACACCACACGTACCACACGCACGCACCACACACACCACGCACACCGTACACACCACACGTACCACACGCACACACCACACACACCACGCACACCGTACACACCACACGTACCACACGCACACACCACACACACCACGCACACCGTACACACCACACGCACCACACGCACACACACACTGCACGCACAACACATACCGCACGCACGCACCACATATACTACAGACACCACACGTACCGCACACACCGCATGTACCACCCTGCAACAACAACCGCCACTAAGTGGCGGTGACGTCACCACGGCGCCTGTGCCAGGCCAGGTGCACTTTAAGACCAAGTGAAGTGTCGAACGCCCGCTGGCAGGAGGTCACGGGACAGACCCAGGCGCGGTGGGTTGACCGAGACGACTAACCAATGCACCACCTGTGCTACACTACCTCCACGTTGCTTGTCCCATCCTCCTCCGCCATGCAAAAGGCAAAGATTCCCCGTGTAGCCTCAACAGACTGTCGAGTCAAGTGCTGTCAGCGAGCACCGAATGAAGGCCGGCACGGCGCACGAGGTGGCCGGGGCCGCGCCCGGCGACGTTCCCTGCACACCGCACCAGGCCCCCACTTGAGGCCGAGAGGGGAGGCCCAGGGACAGAAAATTGTCGGCGCCGCCGGCCCGCCGAGTGGGCGGTGCGGCGAACTACCCGCTGCACCGTCGCCGCCGCCGCTTCCCCGTCCTCCCCTTTGCCCCCCCTGCACATCGTGCGTCACGCCCACCGTAACCTCCCGCCCCTCCTCTAACCCGCGGGGCGATGCAGCGGGGCAGGATGGGACGGGACACGACGGGGCGACGGGACGGGTCGCTCACCCGGCGATGTGCGCCCCCCCCCCCCCGCTGTGCCCGCAGGGACCCTCAAGAGGAACCGCTCCGCCGCCAAGACGGCCAAGCCGACGGCCCGGCCAGCGGACGCCATCGAGATGGGACGACGGACGTAGCACTTCTTCTCTCTCCCTCCTTCTCCCCCGCAGTGTCTTCCTCCTCTCTGCCGTTCTCACGACGTCTCCCTAACCTCTTGCCGCCTCCTCTACCCCTCCTCCCTCTACATTCTCTATCTTCTCCTCGTCGAGTCCGCCCCTCATCTCCCCTTTTCCTCTCCCCACAAAGCCTTCCTCTCTCTCCCTCCCGGTCTCCCCCCCCCCTCCCCCCCTCCCCCCACCCCTCTTCACCAGCTGTCTAAGCAGCGTCGCCTCTCAGGACCTCACATCGGGTGCAAGCAGCAACGTGCGCTCGCAAACGGAGGCACGGGCCCGGCCGCCCGGTCCTCGGGGAGTCTCAGGAGCTCAGGGTGTCACAGTTGGATTCCGTCACGGGGTTTTATCGCGAATACCCCTCCCCCCCCCACCCCCTCGTTACCTTGCCCGCGCGCCTGTGACCGAGCACCTTTTGAGGCAGGGTTGGTGGACCGTGAAGGGATTGCGGTGTGCGAGAGACACCACCCCCCCTCCCCCTTCCCTCTCCCAAGCCTACACAGGCGATGGGGGTGGTGGAAGTACAGGATGTAGGTTGTTGCCTCTGGAGGCTCCGGGTTTACCTCCCACGCGAATAATCTTGAAACGAACGCACAAACTCGACGCATTCGTCAGTAACACTCGCCCGTGCGTGTGTGGCCCTGACAAGTAAAAGATAGAATTTTTTTTAGAGCCAGCGTTTCGGGCATGGGCGCTTCTTCAGAGCCAGGGGGATTATCCGCCGGTGTTATTGACGTGGATGCGTTGAGTTGTTGTTGATGTTGTTGGTGGTGTTTATGGCAGCCACTGCCAACAACAGTTCACGTCATCCCTGTTATTGTCCACTCCGGAGGCTCAGTCTCGTACGCCTCTTACGGGCCCACGATGCACAATGGGAAAGAGCACAGATTTTGTTTTTATTTAAAGCAAAAAACTTTACATTTCATTCCCTATACTGTTTATACTTTAACATACACACAAAGACACACACATGCTATATCACCTACCCCAAACATTCCTCATGGCACTGGTGAGATTTTTAAGGGAAAATCCATTATGGAGAAGGAGAGGGGGGGGTAGAGGAGATTGTAGGGAAGTTCCCACGTGTTATTGACCTTGAAATCCAACTTCTCCCTCCAAGCAAACACGGAGGTGGTACATTCCACACTCTTATGACCAATTATTTCATGCCCTAATATGGGTGACCGGTCACGTGTTGAAATTACCACGTATTATGGCCGAGTCTTTTTTTGTCTTAGGAAGAGGCAACTTTTCTCATGAATTGGATGAATACCATCTGTGGTTGGCGTGGGGTTTGCAGGTGGCCAATTACAAATTGTCAGTGCGGCAATGGATTATTGAATCCATCTGTGTGGAGCTTCCACTGTCGCCTTCCTAACCACCGCCGCCAGCACCTCGTATGCATGGGTTTTCTGCGGGTGCTTTGGTTGGCTCGCACACGGAGCCAGTCTCTAAATAACGTGCGACTCTGTGAGGTTTTTTTTTGTTTGTTAGACAAATGAAGGATTCGTTATTAATATTATTGCGCGTGTGTGCGTGCGTGCTGGCGTCAGTCTAAATCGCAACACTGAGACTGATCTCTTTTTTATCGAGGGTTGTGTTTTTAAATCAATAATTTCTTTGGAGGATAGTTATTAGTTATTTACAAAAGTCGAGCCATGCTTAAGCGAGCGTATTTACAGAATGTGACATGTTTACACGAGCCTGACGGGTTTGGTTTTGTTTTCGCTTTTTAAACGAGCCTCACACGCGCTACAGCACAGCACGGTATTGTTGGAAGCGATTTCTTCGGTTTTTTTTTTCCCCCCGCGGCTATCTCACATAGGGGGGCGGAAAAAGGTCCCTTCCCGGGAAGCAACGTGGCCCCACGTTGGGCCAGCGTCATCGGCGTTTGGCCGTGGAACCGTCGGAGCGAACGTTGCCCGGCCGACCTGCCTGACGTTCCTACGCTTTTACCGGGTTGGTACGGTGGAGCAAAATTTGACGTCGGCGCGTGGCAGGAACGGCCACGGACGACATTACCGTAGCAATAATGGGGGTGAAGCTGTGTCCCGACGCAGGACGCCCGCCCGCCCGCCAGCCAGCCAGCCAGCCGGCAGCCTAATGTATCACGCAAAAATGTCATCGGTGCACGTAGCATCACAGCCCTTAAACTCCCACGTCTTGTGTGACTTGGTTTAGCCCCGGGTGAGAACTCGGGAGAGAGACCGGATTAGTCGAATTTTGCAGAGTGTGCCAGTGGTAATCCCAATTTTCAGGGTAATTGGCAAACGTTGCACACAATGCCCTACTCGCAAAATGGCCTGCTCTTTGCGAATAACGTCGGGGGTTCTGGGATGTGAGGATATTGATCGTCCGCTGCGAAACACACAGCGCAGAGTAGTATTACTACGGTTGTTATTACTATCACCGGTATTAAAGTATTAAACGGGGCGGCCGCTGGATTTTCGAACCGTGAGCCTCTGCGAATGGCGGGGAACCCAGCGCCACACTGCTGGACCGCGCCACCGCCACCAACACCGCCGCCCACGTCGGAGGGCTTTAGGATCAATCGTAAAAAAACACAATATTTCAACATTTAGGCCTAATTTGCGTTGCACGGTCGTTCCCGCCGGAGTCGTAGGGCCAAAAATGTCGTACCGGTGTCAACCGTGGCTCGCCCAATCGCCAACCATGATTTTTTTTTCCATAACAGAGGTTTTTGGGTTACATCACGTAAATATAAATGTCGTTAAACCTGCTACCACCCGACACAGCCAATTAGTTACGTTTGTCAAGTAGCGGGTTTCACGACATTTATATATACGTGATCTAACCCAAAAACCTCTCGTGGATAATATTGGTTGCAAAAGCCCTACTACTATTACGTGTTAAACTGAATCTTTTTTTTTCAAACGATTTTCTCTACAGATCGCGCATGTGTCTCTACAGATCGCCCATGTGTCTCGTAGCAAAGGCCACGTGGTAGGTCTCTCTTTGATGAAAATGTTGTTTGGTTAATTAAAGGGTATCGTAGTGAGTTTGATGAGGATTTTTTAAAATATATATTTGTTTCATTGAAGAAGAAAAAAAACCCCAATGTTAGAATGAAGCATCTTACGGAGTGTGAAAATAAAGATGACGTCCGTAAATTTAAAAAAAAACAGATGGCACGCGCACTGCGAAGCTTGCCCGCTAAACATTCAAACAATTTCGGGTCTGAACATCAACCGACGCTGGCCTAACGTTTGCACGTTTACTGGGTTGTCCGCCGACGCTGATACGCACCGGTGAGCGTTTGCCACCACAAGTGGTGTCCACCGATCCCAACCCCCCTTGTCTCACGTGGGGAGCGGCAGCACAGCAACTGGCGCTCCGCGCTGCGAACCCGGCCACCCGGTTCCCGCTCGCGGCCACCAGCACCAGTGTCTGAACCAGTCCTTGGCCACCCCTAGGTCGACTCGGCCTCCAATGAGTGCCTGGAGCGGGGTGTGGTAAACATCGCCACTGGGGAGACGAAGACGGCCGGGCGTGGTGCTGAGCACCCACCCGCTTCGTGAACCCGTTCCGGCCTTCGCAGGTGCTGCTCGCTAACGGCACTTGCCCCTAGAGTCTGTTCACGCCACGCGGGGCGATCTCCGTCTTCGCACCGCACCCCACGCGTTGGTTGACTTGCAGGCTCGCGTCGTCTCACCACCGAGGCCCCGCTTGGCCTGTGTGCCATCGCTGTTGTCCATAAAGACGGCGAAGACGAAAGAGCAAACTCGACCGCTCCGTTTGCTGCACCATTTCGGCTCGCGGATGCCACGAACGGGCTTGCGTCGGTGACGTTCGTGGCAATTTCTCTTGTTGTTGTTGTCGTTAGGTTGTAATTTGTTTTCCCGCCGTGAATTTAATAAAGAGCTCTTCGGTGTTTGATTTCAAGACTCCCTTGGGGTTGACCGGCCGCTCGCCAGGCACGGCAGCTCCAGTGCCTAACCGCGACCTTTAGCGGTCCGGGAGCGCGGTTGTGGCGTGTGGTCGGGCCAACGTTGACTCAACGTTGGCCCCACGTTCCATGTTTACTGGGAGGGCACGGGGCCACATCGACGTGGCTTTAATTCATCCTCGCGGCACTGCCGTTGGTGTGCGGTGTCCAGAAATCACGCACGGACAATGTCCTATTGTCGTAATAATGCTGCTTGAGAAACACCACTTGCCTTTATCATCATCATCATCAATCATCAATCCAACCACGTTCAATCCACTGCCGGATGAAAGCCTCCACCGTGCAAACCACGGCCACGATCTTCTTGTTGCGATGCAACGATCCCCATCCGGCACGTGCTCCGCCTCCTCGGGGGACGTTCCCCCTGGACGCGTTCCCTTCCCAGGCTGCCACCCCGACTTGCGCGCTTCACCATCGCAGGCCACGATCGTCGTGTGCTGTGAACAACGATGGCAACAAGACGCGGTGCGTGCGTTCGTTCTGCGAGGGTTCCCGGCACGATGCGTCGTGGTACGACTGGAAATCGCATCGGAGAGAGCTGCGGGGTGCAGCGGGAGTTCCGAACCTTCGTGTTCCCGGTCGTTCGACTGAATCTCCAATCTCTAGAAATCCGGTCTTGGCCACTTTTGAATATCACATTGTACGTGAACACGTATGTTATGAATTTATTTCGCACCACTGTACGTAGCCAACCGTGCTCAGTCGGAGGTGCGGCGGGAAGGACAAACTAAAACGCGCAAAAAAACAGTTCTGAAATAAATTAGTCTAGATCAGGGGTCGGCAGAGAAAATAACAAGAAGAGACAGTTATATTTTCTAATTCGGTAAAGAAACACTCGAGATTTCAAGAGGGGCAATGGACGTGAATACGAGACGGTGATGGTGGTTCCTTAATCACGGCCACGAAGAGCCGCATGATGCTCCAGAGCCGCAGGTTTGCCGACCCCTGATCGAGGTGATGTAACAGTGCATCAAAGCTCCCCGTGGCTTCCTAACATCGGAAGGCGAGAGCGTTCCAGACGGCCGCAGAAGTGCATTCGAAAGCGCCGACGCGATGATGCGGTGACCGCCGTCTTTGTTCATTGGCCAGCAGCCACAAGCCGCCGCTGCTGCTGCGAGGATGAGCGGAGTTGGCGTGATGATGGTTTATATTCCTTGACGAGATCGGCGAGGCATTGTGGTTCACTCGTGTCAAGCACTGTGTGTGTAATGAGTGCGAACTCGTACGAACAATGCCACGGCTTAAGGAAGCATTCTTAAGCCGTGACGTATCCTGCCCACGTCCCATTTAATTGTCTGAACAGTTTGTATGACGCCGGTTGACCATATAAGGCATTCTCGCAAACCTGTCAACCCACGTGCTTCACCCCCTATTCGTGTACAGGGGACATTGAGTTTTCAGGTCCATGCGGCGCACGGCCGTTTCAATAGGGGCAACATTTTTTGTCCGTGTGTATTTCTCCCTTGTGATGGGACTTTGTAGGATGAACGTTGAGATTTATAAGGTCTTAATTGGTCTGTAATAAGGTAGGGCACTGATTAGGAGTTGACAGGTATGGTGGTAAATTTTAATTTAAAGCTTTCGTGACTGCAGGGATTCATATTCTTGGTGCTGATAAAAATTGTTTTATATTTTTATTATTTTATTGTTTCCCTTCTACGTGACTTTACCGAAAGAACCAAGAATAGGTATGGTGGTGTTACACTCTTACAGAGACACTGGTTGTGAGACACTGGGTAGTATGACACTGGGTAGTGAGACACTGCTAGTGAGACACTGGGTAGTGAGACACTGGGTAGTGAGACACTGCTAGTGAGACACTGGGTAGTGAGACACTGCTAGTGAGACACTGGGTAGGGAGACACTGGGTAGTGAGACACTGAGTAGTGAGACACTGGTAGTGAGCCACTGGGTAGTGAGACACTGCTAGTGAGACACTGGGTAGTGAGACACTGGGTAGTGAGACTGGTAGTGAGACACTTGGTAGTGAGACACTCGCTGTGAGACACTGGCTAGTGAGACACTGGGTAGTGAGACTGGTAGTGAGACACTGGGTAGTGAGACACTGGGTAGTGAGACACTGCTAGTGAGACACTGGGTAGTGAGACACTGGGTAGTGAGACTGGTAGTGAGACACTCGCTGTGAGACACTGGGTAGTGAGACACTGGGTAGTGAGACACTGGTAGTGAGTGGTAGTGAGACACTGGGTAATGAGACACTCGCTGTGAGACACTGGCTAGTGAGACACTGGGTAGTGAGACTGGTAGTGAGACACTGGGTAGTGAGACACTGGGTAGTGAGACACTGCTAGTGAGACACTGGGTAGTGAGACACTGGGTAGTGAGACTGGTAGTGAGACACTCGCTGTGAGACACTGGGTAGTGACACACTGGGTAGTGAGACACTGCTAGTGAGACACTGGGTAGTGAGACTGGCTGTGAGACACTGGGTAGTGAGACACTGGGTAGTGAGACACTGGGTAGTGAGACACTGGGTAGTGAGACACTGGGTAGTGAGACACTGGGTAGTGAGACACTGGTAGTGAGACACTGGGTAGTGAGACACTGGGTAGTGAGACACTGGGTAGTGAGACACTGGTAGTGAGACACTGGGTAGTGAGACACTGCTAGTGAGACACTGGGTAGTGAGACTCTGGGTAGTGAGACACTGGGTAGTGAGACACTGGGTAGTGAGACACTGGGTAGTGAGACACTGCTAGTGAGACACTGGGTAGTGAGACTGGCTGTGAGACACTGGGTAGTGAGACACTGGGTAGTGAGACACTGGGTAGTGAGACACTGGGTAGTGAGACACTGGGTAGTGAGACTGGTAGTGAGATACTGGGTAGTGAGACACTGGTAGTGAGACACTGGGTAGTGAGACACTGGGTAGTGAGACACTGGGTAGTGAGACACTGGTAGTGAGACACTGGGTAGTGAGACACTGCTAGTGAGACACTGGGTAGTGAGACTGGCTGTGAGACACTGGGTAGTGAGACACTGGTAGTGAGACACTGGGTAGTGAGACACTGGGTAGTGAGACACTGGGTAGTGAGACACAGGTGGCGAGTCACTGGTACAGAAACACTGTACAGGGGAAATTGAGGGTTCAGGTCCATACGGCGTACAGCCGTTTCAATAGGGGCAAAAAATGTGTCTATTTGTATGTGTTTCTCCCTTGTGATTGGACTTTGTAGGATGAACGTTGAGATTTATCAGGGGCACGGGGTGACCAATAAGGTCTACATTAATCTGTAATAAGTTAGGGCACTGATAAGGGGTTGTCAGGTACGTTTTCATTCAGCACTATTACGGACAGGTGTAACTCGAGCGGTTAGTGCCTCAACGCCGACAAAACCCACTCTAAGCCAAGTTTCGAGATGCGGTGTCTCATCAGCAGTCAGGCCGGCCAGAAGCAACCCTGCCGAACCGCCAGCAATGGTTTTGCCTTGAACTAAGCGGGACCCCCGTCTCTTACAGAGAGGGGTTTTGGGGCCGTCCATAAATGACGTCACGCGATTTTGGACGATTTTTTGACCCCCCCCCCTCTTTACACGGCGTCACAGAAAGTCAGATCCCCCCTCAAATGTGACGTCACAAAGCTCTGCCCCCCCCCCCCCAAAAAAAAACATGCTTCAAATCGCTTTAAACTATTGTCATTGTAGTGCGTATTTAATGTGGCGCTGCACTCTGATGTTGTAGGAGAAAACATTTATTAAAAAGTCTATTTAATTAAGTAGAACTTGTTGTCTATATTTATTTAAAGTTGCGGATTTTGATGTGACGTCACATTTCCAAACCCCCCCGCTCTCCCCCTCGTCACACTACGTCACAAATGTCTGACCCCCCCCCCAGGTGCGTGACGTCATTTATGGACGGCCCCTTTGCCTGTAGCATCTGGCGGGTTCGCTCGCCAGCATTGATTGTGGCGGGCCTGACTCTGCTGATGAGAAACCGCATGCCGAAGACGGGCCAGTTGTTTGCTTGTGCTGAACGGATGCTGCTAAAGTATGTGAATAAATATGAAACGCGAACCATGAATCGATCGACATCAATCGATTTCCACAAATATATTCCGTGTAACGATGTTTGCAGCAATTACAAATGCCACTCTACATTAACATACGTACTCGCAGCTAGAGGTAAAACCTCTGCTATGGTACCTCTAGACACGGACATTGGACCACCAAGATTGAGAGGTAAAACCTTTAACGTGGCAATCCTTGCCCCCTAGAGGTACAACTTCAGTTTCAGTTTCTTTAGTTTCTTTATTTTGGTATAGCCCTGTGAGCCATTCGGCTCTTGAATCGGGTGCAACCACACCAAACAAAAAAAACTAAAACATGAACAAGAAAAACATCTTAAAGTGACTATGTGACTGTGCAAACAGAAAATCCAGGGAAAAAAACAACAAAATATTCCTGAAAAAAGCACCGTACACCAACGCTGTGTGCAAAAAATCCCAGTGGGATGCAAGTCAAACAACAACCACAAGACAACTTACATTAAGGCCATCAGTCTGACTCCGTACTACAACAAAACAAACATGTCCAAACCAAAAAACTTTTCGAAATCACCAAAAAATAAAGCCATAATTGCAACGTAACAGTGATCATTGGGACTGTAACCGGATTTTTACAATAAACTACATAAATAACATGTAACACCAAATCCTAGAGCCATAGCTAGCTGCATGAGTTACTCCACAACAACAGAAGCATCGGTCGGAGTATCAAATTTTTAAATGTACCTTTAAGATCAGCACGCTAAATCAAAATACAGATAATACTTTGCTGCGTCATCCGGAGCGAAAACATTTTATTTTATTTTACGCCAATGAATAGCAGTGGCAGCTAGGGGTGTACAACTCCTCTAGAGCAGTTTTGAGAGAATATCTCATTGGTAGCGATTCAAGTTGCAGTTTATTGGCAATAGCATTCCAGACCCTGGGGCATCAATAGCAAAGGCCCTTCCTCCAGTTTTTGTACAGCAATAGGGAATGTGAAGCTGGTAAATGAGGGAAGACCTGAGGTCAAATTTGTTCTTTGAAACAGAGAGGAGATCCAGCAGGTAGTCTGCGGATTTTTTTGTAAGTACATCGTGAATAAATAAGATCTGGTGCACAAGCCGTCGAACATTAAGAGATGTTAAGTTTGACCCAATGTAGAGATCACAGTGGTGAGTCCTATATGGGCAGTTCAATGCAAATCTTAAGGCCGAGTGATAGATGGAATCAAGCTTCTTCAGTACAGTACTTGGGGCTGATTTATACACGATGTCACAGTAGTCAAGTAGAGGCAGTATGGTAGCTTTTATCAATTCCAAACGGAGAATTGGGGGGAAGCAGTGCTTGTGTTGATACAGAAAACCAATTTTTATTTTTGTCTTTTTACCAATATAATCAATGTGATCTTTAAAATTCAGTTTTGAATCCAGGATGACCCCAAGATACTTATAGCTCTTGACTTGCTCTATTTGATAATTGTTTAAGGAATGTAATTGGGGAAAAAATAACTTCCTGCTTTAGTCCTGGTGAGAAGCATAGCACCTTGCTTTTGGAGGTATTCAGGACTAGTTTAAGAGCAACTAGCTGATGTTGTAGTTTGTTGAAATCACCCTGTAGCTTAGCAATCACGTCATCCGGAGAGCGGCCAGCAGTAATGAGTATCGTGTCATCTGCAAAAAGATTTACCCTGGAATGATCCAGGTCAGTGCCCAAGTCATTGACATAAAGAGAGAACAAAAGGGGGCCGAGGATGGAACCCTGTTGAACCCCTTTTGTCAGCTTAACACTGTTTGACCTCCAACCATCTGTGAATACAGTTTGGGTGCGAGAAAGAGGTAATTTTGTAACCACTTTACTGCGTTTTCGGAAAAACCGAGGCAACTTAGTTTACTAAGCAGGGTGTTGTGGTCTACTGTATCAAAAGCTTTGGACAGGTCTAGAAAAAGACAGGCACAGTACTGCTTATTATCAAGGCTACTGTAAATGTGATTCAGAGAGTCTAATGCAGCAGATGTGGTGCTGTATTTTTTCGGACCTCAGATTGTTTTAGATGTAGTAGATTGTTGGTGGACAGGAAACTGCTAATTTGGTAGGTCAATAATTTTTCAAAAATTTTCATCAACGGGGACAGGTCTAGAAAAAGACAGGCACAGTACTGCTTATTATCAAGGCTACTGTAAATGTGATTCAGAGAGTCTAATGCAGCAGATGTGGTGCTGTATTTTTTCGGACCTCAGATTGTTTTAGATGTAGTAGATTGTTGGTGGACAGGAAACTGCTAATTTGGTAGGTCAATAATTTTTCAAAAATTTTCATCAACGGGGACAAAATTGAGATAGGTCGGTAGTTATTTGGATCATCTTTAGGGCCCCCTTTGTGAAATGGACGGACATAGGAATGTTTCCATTCTAGAGGAACTGATGCTTCTTTGATGGACAGGTTGAAAATATGGGCTGATGATGACCGTTTGAGTTATGGTCGAAACGTCGTGAGAATTTTTTTATTGTTTTATATATATTTTGTTATTTTGTTGTTTCTCTTCAACGTGACTTTACCGAAAAAACTAAAAATATAAAAACGAATCCTATAGGTAAAACCTCTAACATGGCAAACCACACCCTCTAGAGGTAAACCCTCTGCTATGGCAGCCCCATCACAACCATAGCTCCTCCCCACCCTCCCCCCACCCTTACAAATCTCTCTTCCAATGGCAATTGCGCAATCACTCCCCCCCTCCCCACCACCACCACGACCATGGGAAGCGATGGCTCGGCCAATGAGAGCGCGGCTTGGGCCTTCCCGCTACGGGCCCTCAGACGGCCACAGGTAAAAAGAAAGAGGCCCTCCACCGGGCTCGAGGCGGCGGGCGGTCGAGCGGTCGAGCGAGCGAGGGCCCCGGTTCCTCTCGGTGTCCGCATGCGGCCGTGAAGCGTGCGAGCGGTCGACGCACGCGAGGTCGCCGAGTGCGACGAGAGAGGTTGGCGGTGTTGCGTTGACAGCTCGAGTCGCCTGCAAAACTGTTAACCCCCATCACCACCCCCGCCGCCGCACGCCAGCCCCCCACTAAATATAAAAAAAACTCTAAATCGCGCTTTTACGATCGCTTTTGTTTGGCGCAAGCCTGAGGCTTGTGGTCGGTCTCTCTCTTTTATTTTAGAGGGCCCCCCCCCCTCTCGAGGCCCTTGCCCGTGGTTGTTGGTGGTGGTGGTGGCGGAGCGATGTGGGCTTAGCGGGCGGTACGCTTTGTAGCGAGTGCCTCGGTTTGTTCAATATATGATGGAGGCGCGTGTTCGGATCGCGTCTGTGTGTGTCGTGTGTGTGTGTCGTGTGTGTGGGGAGCGGTGGTGTAGTGGTTAGCGCTACGCTGCGAACCCGGCGACCCGGGTTCGATTCCCGCTCACGGCCACCAACACCGGTGACGATCGTCTGAACCGGTCCTGGGCCTCGCCGAGGTCGACTCGGCCTCAAAATGAGTCACCTGGTGCGGTGTGTAGTAAACATCGCCACTGGGGGAGACAAAGACGGCCGTGCGTGTTGCTGGCCCACCCAACCCCCTCGCGTGCCACGGTGCCGGCCTTCGTAGGTGCCGCTCGCTAACAGCACTTGCCCCTACAGCCTGTTACAGGCTACACGGGGGATCTTTGTGGGAGCGGTGGTGCAACGGTTAGCGCGACGATCCCGGCGGGCAGAGTTCTATTCCGGCTCACGGCCGACGCCGGTGACGATTCATCTGAACCGGTCCTGGGACCTCCCCTACACCGACTAGGACCTCGATTCATCGAGTGCCTCGTGGCGATTCGTAAAAAAAAAAAATCGCCACTGAGAGAGACAAAGGCGTCCGGGCGGGGTCGTTGACCACCCGCGCTGCCCCTAGGTGCTGCTTCGCAAACAACATTCGCCCCCAACAGTCTGCTAAAGGCTACACGGCGGGGGGATCTTTGTCTTTTAAAACGTTCCTGGAGAGGTACGGCGTTTGTGAGAGAGCCTCACGTCCCTTGTCTCTCTCTCTCGCGCGCGGTGTCAACGGAGACTCGCCCGCCGAGTACGGCGGACTCCAGATTCAATTTCGATATCGGTATGAATCATGATCTGTATTTTAGAATGGAGGTGAAATCCGATGAGCTATAAAGCGCCCCCACACACACACACAGATGTCCAGTATTGGGAAGGGGGTGGGGGGGGACATGGTTACAATAGAAAAAATAAGAGATGATTGGTAAGAAAGTCACTGATCGAGCCGTGATGCTGCTTGAATTGATTATTTGCTGTTTTTGATTGGTGACCGCTGTTCAACCATTCGATGTTTGTATAAGATAACTCATTGAGTCCATAGGGGGTTTCTTCGTTGGGTTAGATCGTGTAAATATCAATGTGTCGTTAAAGTCGCCACCACCCTTCGCAGTCAATTCGTAAGGGGGTTTTCACGTGAACTAAACGTGCCAATTCGTTACGAGTTCAGCACTACATTTACAATTCGAACTAGTCACTTAATTGGCACGTTTTGTTGACGTGACAAACCTTGCTAATTGGCTGTGTCGGGTGGTGGCGGGTTTAACGACACAATTATATTGATCCGATCTAACCCCAACAAAAAACCTTTGATGGATAATAATGGTCGCGGAAGCCTGCTGTGTGTAAAACTCACTTATTGGGGTGTCTAAAATCGTTTTTTTAATGATTGTTGTGAGATATTAACCCCACTTCGACGTTAGCCCAGTGAGTTATTATTAGATATTGTTTTAAGAATCGAGTTAACCGTGCATTTCCCTGCGTTGCCTCTTGTAATCGGCGCCGTTTTATTTAACCACTGAAAGCTTGTTGCGTTGATTAGTTGGTCTCTTCTCAATAGTCTAACGTGTAATTTACACGAACTCACAGCAATAATAACATGCAAGTGTATATAAATAAGCTTTTTGACACGCTACGGTAGCGTTTGATTGAACCATTTCAGTTTTAGTTCAGCAATTTGTTAACATTTTAAATGTGCAGGTAACTACTAATTTTTAGCGCTTCATGTGTCACCTCCAGTCTGTCTGGTGTACTGTGAGCCCAATCATATGTTATCATTGAAGAAATTTAACCCCATTGAGATTCTATGTTGGTGTTCATTATTCAACCATTGTGGCTTATGACCGGTAATTAGTTGATGTTTTTTAAATGTACTAAGTGTCTTGTTTCATAACTATCACCTGAAGTCTGATTTACTACTCTGAACTCAAGGAGTCATTTTAGATATTGAGATTCATTGTATTAATTGGGGGGCCCCATTATTTAACCAACTGATGTTTTACTATCGTAGATTATTGGTGTTTTGCAATACAGTATATAATTGTGTTCTACTTGATGTACGAACCCTTTATTTAGTATAATTACTTTAGTAAACTAGTTGAACTTTCTGAAATGTCTTTATTCTCTTTTGGAAGACCATTGCGATTGGTTGTGACCGTACAGTGTTTAGATTGGTGGGTACTCCTTTTAACAGTCGAGACTTGTGGGTTATTGGTATCATAACGTGGCTTTATAATTAAGTTGAATGATTTATTAATCCCACAATTTTATTGGCGTTGGCCAAACATTGCAATGCAGGACCCTCTTCAGGACCCAATGCAGCTTCTTCATGGCTGGGTAAATAAGAAAATATATTACTGTTATTAAACCATCGGAACAGGTTGAAGTTTGTTTTCTTTCCGTGCCAGTTGCTCGTGCGATTTTATTGACGTGTGCCAATCTGTCCGTGTCTTTTTTAAACCGTAGATTTCAAGCCGTGGTCTTTTCCGCTGCTGTAGGCCTCTTATCATGACATTGTCACCCACCCCCCTAGCGGTCCTGCATTCATGCAATCCATCGTAATCCTGCCGCAAGAACCGATATCTCATCACGTCATCCCTGCCGTGGTCGGCCCCCTCAACCCCATGTTCTCCTTTGGCTGCCATTCACCCGTCGGTCTCGTACAATCGGCTATAATCCATCATCATCATCGTCTTCATCATCGTTAGATATTTATACTGTGTCTCCCGTGCGGAGGCGGTCTCGAGAAGTGTGCACATGTGCGTGATGACGCCACCCACAGCGGTTGAGCCCGGTTCGTACGTCGTGTTGACGTCACACCTGCCCCCCACCCCCCAGCCGTGTATCCCGCGCAAATGGGAGGGAGGTGTAGGGAGGTTACGTCCAAGGGACGGGCGGGCTGCTACTTTGCATATCAATTTTGTAATATCGCCTCGATTTTTCTTCTATTTTAGACGTGAAGACCAAACTGTTTGATTGATTACAGATCCCATTGGCCTGCCAACATGTGCGTGTACAGTGTCCAATACCGTGTGGCACGTTACAAGTTGAAATAAATATTACTACTACTATCCATAATGACGTGGCGATCAAAAAAATAAACCATTGATGCTGACCGAATGTAGAAAATGCTGAAAATTGCATATCGGACGCATAGGAGATAATCTTTTTGCTGGAATTTACACCGAGGGACAGAGAGGAGCATGCGCGGACCAGGAAGCGAACACCCACGGGAGAGGCAACGTTGCTTGTTGAAAACAAGCGTGGCGTAAGCAGGACGTATGTGACAGACGGGGATGATGGCCGACGACCGAAAGCGGTGACGGAACGGCAGCCGCGAGGGGGTAACGCGGCAGAGAGGGCGGATCGCGGGAGATGGGAGAGCGGGGAGGCTTCGGCTCGTGCGCGGGAGCGAGACGGGGAGTGTGACACCGTCGGGGGGTTCGAGGATGATGTCGGTCAGGTTTAGTGGTGGCTCTTGAGGTGGCTGAGGAGTCCAATTCTGGATCTGAAGATGTTTGGGGCATTGGGGGTGGGCGTTACGCGGTCCCAGATGGAAGTGGAATCCGCAGTGTCGGCTCGGCTCTTCCTTTGGTTTTATTTGGCAGCGATCCGCTTCGTCTTTGAGATGTCGGGTCTCGAAGTGCGGCCGCGGCCTGGTGGGTGAAGCGGTGCCACGCCTAGGCGGTCGGCAGCCTGCTGCTCCTCCACCCAGTCTTGAAGGTTGATTTTCCCGCGAGGGTATCCTTGAACCGCTTCCTCTGTCCCTCCCCTCGTCCGCTGACCGTTGGAGAGCTACTGTTGCCTGTCCGTCGGAGTTGTTGACGCCATGGGAAGACCTTCATCCAACAGCGGCTCGACCATGGCTGACGACGCGGTTGACTAAATCGAGTGGTATAATTACTCGACCGTGTCAAGCCCACTATGATACTGTGATAAGCGGGCATCTAGATATGCCCAGATGCTATGCAGGTTCGCTCATGTATCCCACTGAGATTCATTGTCTTTTAATTGATGTCCTTTGTTCAGCCATGTGAGAATCCATTAAGGAATTATTATTTTTTTATCCGTGCACCCTTTAACCAACTTCTAATTGATGTTATCTCTCTATAGAGCTCAAGGAGAAGAATTCTATTTTAATTCGTGCCCATTATTAGGTCTGTCAAGCTTTGAGAACTGCAAAGAGTGGTTTACCACGTATCATTCGTCCAATATGTGCACAGGTCGCTTGCATCACAGCTAGGCTAGGACAACATGACACCAGCAAACGCGTGTTCACAAAGGGTGATTTATACAGCCACCGACGGCTTGTAACGAACATCGCACGCACCGCACGTGACAACCGCGGTGGCGCAGGTGTCACGGGCCTCGGACACGCAGCCGCTGTGTGAACGAGGCGCGCTGCCCTCAGGCGTGTTTGCCACGTGGCCATTATGACACCTTCCCCGTTGATGAAATGTATCGGTGGGTCTCTCAGCCTTATTGCTACGGCGTTCCCCCCGCCCCCCGCAATTAAAACCACTGGTACCCCACGAAACCCAACCCCGCCGTGCGCAAGCAATCGCTTGCTTTTTTCCCGGGGGCATCACCAACAATGGCCATTGTGAGCCACCACCCACCCACCTCCCCCGCCCGCTTCCCCCAGAGTCATCAACCACTTGCGCTGCCCTTGACCTCTCACTCCCCCCCTCCCGTCTCCTCTCTCTCTGTCCGTGGGTCCTCCAGGTAGAGGAGGATGGATGGGCTGATGGCGAACCCCACCCTCGTCACGCTCTTTGCAGACGACGACGTCTCAAAGGAGAGCACCGACCTCGCTGGTGACGCCTCGTGAGTTTCCTCCAAAAGTTTAACGGTTAAACGAATCTTGTTCCTCTTTCGTACGGCTGATGTAGACGCAGGGCAACCAAAGCTGCAATTTCACATTCAGGTGGCCCAGCCCTACAAACCCGCGTCGGGAGCGGCGGAGCGTTATCGCCGTGATGTCACCTTCGTGTTTGTGGATCTCGGTGCGTTGCGTCGTTGTGCGTTGTACGGTCCGTTCTGGATGCCCACAGTCGCACACTGCTGGAGAGTTTTAAAATGTTCCATTTGTGCATCGGGTATCTGCATCAGCCCTAGTTGGTGCGGATGCTGTTTTACGGTGGACCATGAGTAAATAAACAATAACGAATAAAAAAAAAACCCCTCCTGGCAGTGGTGCACAATTAGCACTGAACTCAACACGTTTGTCAGCAGCACTGCGATGAACGCGTCAAAATGTGTGCAGACACGGTGATGCCCGCGTGCTCACTGCGTACCGACTAACGTCACTTGACGTGTGCGGGTGATGTAATAAATACATCGACAGCGGTCCCGACTGGCCGCGCGCTCACGCCCGCGACTTGCCGCTCGCCTGCTTGCAGGCTGCCGGCCGGGGAGGGCACGTTTGCAGGTGGCGTCTCCCAGGCGCTGGCGAGCCCCGAGTTTGCGGAGGACGTTTCCCACGCGCAGCTCCTGCAGAACGAGTCTACGCACGGCGGCGAGGCCACGGAGCCGCGCGCCGAGGAGGAGGTACAAACGGCGGCTTCGTCCGCCCCCCCCCCCCTTCCTCCGCTGTCGCCGCGTTGTTTATTCGTTTCGCCTCATCGCAAGGCCCCAGCGGGCCGGGTGGGGCCTTCCGTGCGGCCACCTGACGTGCGGCCCTCCGCCGACAATACACAAATGGTGACAACACCTCCCATCATCGTTGCGCCGCTGTCAAACCCCCAAACCCCCCCCCCCCCCATCGCCGTGCGCGTCTTGACACCGCGACCGCTAGCGACGTCGCGATATCGCCGCCGCCCCTAACGCCCGCCCCCCCCGCTCCTCCGCAAACCCGCCCTTTCCTTGCTCCCCGTCTCACCGGCGGCACCAGCAGCAGCGCGTGGTGAAGAAGGGCGGCTGGCCCAAGGGGAAGAAGCGCAAGAAGGTGGGACGCGACAGCAACGCCCCGCGGGCGCCGCTCACGGGCTACGTGCGCTTCCTGAACGAGCGGCGCGAACAGGTGCGCGCCGAGAACCCCGACGTCTCTTTCCCCGAGATCACGAGGATGCTCGGCAACGAGTGGAGCAAGCTGCCCGCGCAGGAGAAGCAGGTGCCTCCCCCCCCCCCCCCCCCCCCCCCCCCACCCCCCCCCCCCACACACCACCACCCCACCGCCAACAACGTTGCCCGCACCCACCACCACCACTTCCTTTATACGGGCATACCTCGTTTAGTGCGAAGGATGCGTTCTTGCTCAAATGGAGCGCTATACCAAACGGTGCTATAGGAGGTCGCTATAACATAGTTCCAATGGATATGCGTTACCAGCAGCGCTATTTTGTTAGACCTACAGTGAGGGAAAAATTATTTGATCCCCTGCTGAGTTTGTACGTTTGCCCACTGACAAAGAAATGATCAGTCTATAATTTTAATGGTAGGTTTATTTGAACAGTGAGAGACAGAATAACAACAACAAAAATCCAGAAAAACGCATGTCAAAAATGTTATAAATTGATTTGCATTTTAATGAGGGAAATAAATATTTGACCCCTCTGCAAAACATGACCTAGTACTTGGTGGCAAAACCCTTGTTGGCAATCACAGACGTCAGACGTTTCTTGAAGTTGGCCAACAGGTTTGCACACATCTCAGGAGGGATTTTGTCCCATTCCTCTTTGCAGATCTTCTCAAAGTCATTAAGGTTTCGAGGCTGACGTTTGGCAACTCGAACCTTCAGCTCCCTCCACAGATTTTCTATGGGATTAAGGTCTGGAGACTGGCTAGGCCACTCCGGTACCTTAATGTGCTTCTTTTGGAGCCACTCCTTTGTTGCCTTGGCCGTGTGTTTTGGGTCATTGTCATGCTGGAATACCCATCCACGACCCATTTTCAATGCCCTGGCTGAGGGAAGGAGGTTCTCACCCAAGATTTGACGATACATGGCCCCGTCCATCGCCCCTATGATGCGGTGAAGTTGTCCTGTCCCCTTAGCAGAAAAAACACCCCCAAAGCATAATGTTTCCACCTCCATGTTTGACGGTGGGGATGGTGTTCTTGGGGTTATAGGCAGCATTCCTCCTCCTCCAAACATGGCGAGTTGATATTCTTAGCTCTTTCGGTAAAGTCACGTTAAAGGGAAACAATAAAATAATAAAATATATAATTATTGTTTTATATATATTTTTTATTATTTTATTGTTTCCCTTTAACGTGACTTTACCGAAAGAGCTAAGAATATGAATTACTGCAGTCACGAAAGCTTTAAATCAAAATGGCGAGTTGAGTTGATGCCAAATAGCTACATTTTGGTCTCATCTGACCACAACACTTTTACCCAGTTGTCCTCTGAATCATTCAGATGTTCATTGGCAAACTTTAGACGGGCATGTATATGTGCTTTCTTGAGCAGGGGGACCTTGCAGGCGCTGCAGGATTTCAGTCCTTCACGGCGTAGTGTGTTACCAATTGTTTTCTTGGTGACTATGGTCCCAGCTGCCTTGAGATCATTGACAAGATCCTCCCGTGTAGTTCTGGGCTGATTCCTCACCATTCTCATGATCATTGCAACTCCACGAGGTGAGATCTTGCATGGAACCCCAGGCCGAGGGAGATTGACAGTTCTTTTGTGTTTCTTCCATTTGCGAATAATCGCACCAACTGTTGTCACCTTCTCACCAAGCTGCTTGGCAATGGTCTTGTAGCCCATTCCAGCCTTGTGTAGGTCTACAATCTTGTCCCTGACATCCTTGGAGAGCTCTTTGGCCTTGGCCATGGTGGAGAGTTTGGAATCTGATTGATTGCTTCTGTGGACAGGTGTCTTTTATACAGGTCACAAGCTGAGATTAGAAGCACTCCCTTTAAGAGTGTGCTCCTAATCTCAGCTCATTACCTGTATAAAAGACACCTGGGAGCCAGAAATCTTTCTGATTGAGAGGGGGTCAAATACTTATTTCCCTAATTAAAATGCAAATCAATTTATAACATTTTGACATGTGTTTTTTCTGGATTTTTGTTGTTATTCTGTCTCTCACTGTTCAAATAAACCTTCCATTAAAATTATAGACTGATCATTTCTTTGTCAGTGGGCAAACGTACAAAATAAGCAGGGGATCAAATACTTTTTTCCCTCACTGTATGAGCCATGTTTTAGGGCTTCATTGGGGTGGGTTGCCACGGTGGCGAGATGTTAGCTACCTCGCTTGGTATACAGGAGGTCATGGGTTCAATCCTGACCCTGATGCCTGCTGTATATTTTGAGTTTGCGTGTCTCTCTCCCCGTGGTGATTGCGTGGATCTTTCTCCCAGTCTTCTGGTTTTTCCCTTCACATTTAGAATCGACGTGCTATACATTTCCGCGCGACAAGCCACTTCGTTGAGCTATCATTTGCGATTGCCAGGTCGCTTCTGATAAAGAGCTCTATAGCTCGGTGGGCTTTACCTGGTCAAATAAAAAATAGTTTGGTCTAGTAGCTTAGTTTTATAGGATGTCCATTATGACATGGTTCCAATGGAGATTCGTTACCAACAGCGCTATATTTTTGTGACCTGTGAGCGATATGAGGGCTTCATTGGGGTATTGGCAGTCGCCTTAATAATGATACTGTACGCATGGTAAATGTAATAAAGCGGTTTAGAAATGAAATATAACTTCTTATGATAATAAAAATACAATGAGTTACGAACTCGCCATTCGGTCGCAGCTTGCGTAAGATTAACCGTCTGCTGTAAACGCACGTTCCATGAGAAGCTATACTAACCAACGGGATTACTCGATCCACGGATCGTTAATGAATCGACGCACTGATGATCCCTCGAGTAATCAATACTCTGATCGACTATGAGCAGAATCGATAGAATAGACGGCTCCTTTCAGGTTCCACAAAGACTATATATGGGTAGAGACACGACCCCTACAGGTAACGCCACGCCTACTTTCTTCCATATATGGGCTGATCCCCGCACGAATTTTCCTCCCAGGACGAAGAGCGTTTGAAGGAAACGGCTTTATTAGAGGCTGCGCGATAAGATGGATGCCTGTACATCATCATTTACTGGTTATACTGCTTAACATCGTTTCGCAATCTGTGGCCATATCGGTGTCGTATAAAGCGGAGTATTTTAACACGTAGGCTTTCGCGGCCAATATTCATAATAAATCTGGATCTGAAGTTTTCGTGATGCAGGCATCCATACTCTTTGGTTCTTTCGGTAAAGTCACGTAGTAGGTATAACCAAGAGTATTCATAATAAAGGTTTTTTTCGTCGTGTTGGGTCACGTAAATGTGTCGTGAAACCGAACAATTAGTCATATTTTGTCACGTGACTATAACGTGCCAATTACTTTACGAGTTCGGCATCACCGGTTGTGCTGTTGGAGAGTAAACCCACAACGTTGAAAATTCGATTACGTTTTGTTCTGTTTGAGTACGTAATTGACACTTTTTGTTCACCCGACAAACCTCACTAATCGGCCTCGTCAAGTGGAGGCGGGTTTACTGCGCACTTTTGAATTTTACGCGATCTAACCCAAACAAACACCTCTACTATTGTGAACAGAAATAGCAAAATTAGTTTTATAGTTATTTTTGAGCACAATGGTACGGTCCGATCAGCTGTCATACCGACGTGTCCCGCCAGAGGTACTTGGACGAGGCAGACAAGGACAAGGAGCGATACATGAAGGAGCTGGAGAAGTACCAGCAGACGGAGGCCTACAAAATCTTCAACCGCAAGACGCACGAGAAGAAGCAGAAAAAAGGTGACTCCCCCTGCCCCCACTCCTCGAACTTTTAGCTTAAAAAACCTGGCTCCCCGTGCTGGCAAACGTCACCACCTGCCACCCCCCCACATATCCGGAGACTGGCAATAACCACCCACAAAATGATTGAAAAGTCCTCAACGCCTCACACACACCTCCGGCTCCACGAGGACTTCTTCAGCCCACCAAAGGTGACGCCTCCCCCTCAACCCCCTCAAGAAAGCTGATTTGGAAAGGCCTAGCCACCCACTCACTTACCCAGCCACCCACTCACTACCCAGCCACCCACTCAATCACCCAGCCACCCACTCACTCACCCAGCCACCCACTCACTTACCCAGCCACCCACTCAATCACCCAGCCACCCACTCACTCAACCAGCCACCCACTCACTCACCCAGCCACCCACTCACTCACCCAGCCACCCACTCACTCCCCCAGCCACCCACTCACTCAACCAGCCACCCACTCACTCACCCAGCCACCCACTCAACTAGCCACCAACTCACTCACCCAGCCACCCACTCACTCACTTACCCAGCCACCCACTCACTCACTTACCCAGCCACCCACTCACTCACCCAGCCACCCACTTACTCGCGCACCCAGCCACCCACTCACTCACGCAGCCACCCACTCACTTACCCAGCCACCCACTTACTTACCCAGCCACCCACTCACTTACCCAGCCACCCACTCAATCACCCAGCCACCCACTCAATCACCCAGCCACCCACTCAACCAGCCACCCACTCACTCACCCAGCCACCCACTCACTCACTCACCCAGCCACCCACTCAACTAGCCACCAAATCACTCACCCAGCCACCCACTCACTCACCCAGCCACCCACTCACTCAACCAGCTAGCCACCCACTCACTCACTCACCCTGCCACCCACTCACTCACTTACCCAGCCACCCACTCACTCACTTACCCAGCCACCCACTCACTCTCCCAGCCACCCACTCACTTACTCACTCACCCAGCCACCCACTCACTCACCCAGCAACCAACTCACTCACGCAGCCACCCACTTACTCACCCAGCCACCCACTCACTCACTCTCCCACCCACCCACTCACCCACCCACTCACTCTCCCAGCCACCCACCAACTCACTCTCCCAGCCACCCACTCACTCACTTACCCAGCCACCCACTCACTCACTTACCCAGCCACCCACTCATTCTCCCAGTCACCCACTTACCCAGCCACCCACTCACTCACCCAGCCACCCACTCACTCACCCAGCCACCCACTCACTCACCCAGCCACCCACTCACTCACCCAGCCACCCACTCACTCACCCAGCTACCCACTCACTCACCCAGCCACCCACTCACTCACTCACTCACCCAGCCACCCACCCACTCACTCACCCAGCCACCCACTCACTCACCCAGCCACCCACTCACTCACCCAGCCACCCACTCACTCACCCAGCCACCCACTCACTCACCCAGCCACCCACTCACTCACCCAGCCACCCACTCACTCACCCAGCCACCGACTCACTCACCCAGCCACCCACTCACTCACCCAGCCACCCACTCACTCACCCAGCCACCCACTCACTCACCCAGCCACCCACCCACCCACTCACTCACCCAGCCACCAACTCACCTACCCAGCCACGTACGACTTTAACACAAACCTCACCTAGACACAAGAATGGGCGTCACTGGACCTGGCAAATAAGTACCTCGTGACTACCCCCACACAACAGCCCACTGGTTTCAACCTCCCTAGGAAGGAGTGGTCCACCCTCAACAGGTTCAGGACTGGTCATGGCCCACGCCTTGCCAGCCTCCACCGATGTAATTCAAAAGGAAAAATGAGCGAGGAAAGCAATAACGGGAGATGTTTGAAGGTGGGCGGGGGGGGGGGGGAGAAAGGGATATAGAGAGAGAGTGGGGGATTGGTGATGGGGCGGAGGTTCGGGAGGAGAGGCGAAATACGGGCGCATTGACGCGAGCGCGGGAGTCGCCAGGGGAGGGACGTAGCGGAGTGGAGTGGCACGGATGGGGGTGGGGCGGGGTGAGGTCTGCTGGACACTAAAGCACCTCTCAATGGTGAGAGGTACGTGTGGGACCTCCTGCTACAATCTGGTTGGGAACGGTGCGAAGCCCAGAGGAGGTGGGGGGGGATGCACTGTTAAGGGGAGGCAGCTTCTGCGGCTTTGCTACTTCCGCGGCTGTCTGGAAAGCTTTTTGGCCAACCGTCGAACAAAGACTGTGGTCACGGCATCGCACGCGCTTCTGCGGCCGTTGGGAACGCTCTTTCCTTCCGACATTAGGAAGCCACTGGGAGATGTGCGCTTTTAAAACATCACCTAGACCAGTGGTTCTTAACCTTGACTGCAGCCATGCACCCCTTTGGTTCTCAGGGCATCTCGCAACCCCAGGAGTTGCGTGCACCCCAGATGCGTTTAGTTTGTTGTCCTGCTCCCCCCCACCTCCGCGCTACGTACGGTGCGAAAGAAGTTCTACGTGCTTACGAGGGCACTAGCAAAAGTCGCGAGAGCCACATGGGAGCCTAGGACGGATGATTTCTGCCGCAGTGACAGCGGCCCACCACAAGAGGGCAGCGCCGCCCTGGGCTATCGTAGGAGGCAGAGATCCTAACGAGGGAACGCGTTCCTGCAAATCCGATCGCTCTGAACGGGAAGGGTGGTGGTGGTGGTGGTGTTGGGAGGCATTGGTTATACTGTACGTACAGTAAGTCCCCATTTAACGCGGAAGTAGACGGGCTCCTGAAAAGTTTCGCGTTCAGCGAAAAAAAAACGCATGAAGCGAAAACAATCTCCCCGTAAATAACGTAATAACGGCAAGGTTTGGCGAGGTACGATGTACCACTGCCGCGCGCACCGCGCAGTGAGATGGCGGGACAATTCACTCGGGGTTCCCCGCCACCGCTTGGCCGCGCAGCTCAAAGCAGTTTGTCGTCGACCGCTCAGAAGCCGCGTTATAGCGGTGGCGCGCGTTGCAACGGGCGAGGGCGCGTTGCAACGGGCGAGGGCGCGGTAACGCTGCACGTTGTGCGGGAGAAGACGGCGTCATGGGAGCGAGTCGGTGGGGCGGTGCCTGCCCTGTCCGCTGTTGCCATCTGACGTCGACTTTTTCCCGTTGTTGTGTTTCTTCCCCTTTCCCGCAGAGGAACCTTGTTCTATTAACGGCTCATCAAATGAGGTACGGTGGTTTTGTTCTCTTGCTCCCTTGTCCGTCGGGCTTGGGCGATGGGTGGGTGGACAGTGTTCAGGGGGGACGAATAAACGACGAGTTTCTGTATCGGTGTGTTCTGTTTGTGTACTTTGCTGACCCTGCAAATCGTCGAACGCCCGTTGGTTCACTCCACGCCAGGTCGCTTCTAAAAAAAGAGCTACGTGGCTCAGTGGGCCTTACCTGGTAAAATAAAAAAAGAATCAGTAACTCGATCAATTCACGCAAAACAACTGGAACACATTATCCAACACTTTAGGTGACAGAAAATCCAGACGGGGACGATCTCGGGGGACCTCAGACCTGACGTTATCAGTCTCTCTAAGACGCGGGGGAAATTAACGGAGGGTGTAGGGAGAAGGGTGGGTTTACATCTATCGCTTATTTCGCACAAACGCAATTCGTCGGCGTGGGTGGGGAAGGGGTGGCAAGGGAAGAAGCGGACCACCGGAGGGATTTTAATTTTCCATTTGTGCGTCAGGTATCCACATCTGCTGTGTCATGGTTTGTGCAGTGGATGCCGGTTAAGGGTGGACCATGATCTCTGTCGAAGGTCAAACCCAGGGGTCTTCTGGATCGGGCATTTTGAGTCTGTTATATGTTGCACGGCTATGTTCTGGGTGACGGCAGTAACACAGCAGAGAGATTTTAATTTTCCTTTTTTTGCATCATCAAAGTGTCCGCGTTTTATTTTCAAGTCACCCTTGCAGCGCTGGGATGTAAACGGAAATAAAACTAAACTTTTTTTTAAATTTGACCAATTTAAGGCCCCACTTGAGCTACGTAGATTTTTTTCAGAAGCGACCTGGATATCACAAATGATGGCTCAACGAGAAGCGGCTTATCATCGCGTGGAAATTTATAGCAGCCAAGTACGAACATTGATTCTAAATGTTGAGGGAAAATCCGGAGGACCCGTTGAAAAATCCACGCGACCACGGGGAAAGAGAGAGAGAGACACGCAGGTGTCACGGTCGGGATCGAACCCACAACCTCCTGTGTACCCAGGTGTGGTTGTTCATATCTCGCCACCACACCCGTCCCAATTGTTCTGTATTATGTAGTTTGGTAAACTCGCACCCATTTACATTTGGGCACTTCACCAGCTTTGGTTCAAGCATGCTTGAATCTGCCCATAAGACACTGATTGTTGAAACTGGATCTCAGTTTTCTAATCAATCCAATTCTGCTGGAACTATACAGTCCCAGAAGAGCCTTATGGATAATGGTATGTTTAACAAAATTTATGTTTTACCAAGGCGAGGGATTTGTGTGACATTCATCATCATCTTTGTGTATCCCTCTTGTTAAACGCTCGGGCCTTTAGCTTCGCCGGCATCCGTAAACGTCATTACTTCTGCTCATCGTGTTATTGGAGTGAGCCCGCCTTATGGAGTCGCATCGATTGTACCCCCGCCGGCGCTCTTTCGTTTAGTTTAGTTTTAGTCATTCCCCAATGTGGTGTGGTTTTTTTTTTATCCTTTCAGAACGAAGAGGAATCGAGAGACAAGCTGTCGGTGTTTGACATACCCATTTTCACGGAAGAATTTCTCGATCACAACAAAGGTAACTCTTTTCGCTCGCCCGCTCCTGGCAAACGTTGTGCCCCAGGCACTTTTAAATGATCATCTACATTGACCAACTCCTTTTCTTTTAGAATTGCTTTTGTGTGTTTAGTTTGTTGTCCTAAACCATCAACCATATTTATTTTAAATATAATACCACCTCCACTCAAGGCGGTATCAAAGCATTGTACACTCAAATAAAATGCAAAGACAATAAAATAATGTTTAAGCAAAAGCCGCGAGAAAATAATGAGTCCTGCACTCCCTCTTAAACACACCGAGGCCCGTAGCGTGCCGGATCACCGCTGGCAAGGAATTCCAGAGACTTGGGGCAACACTTGAGAAGGCCCGTACCCCCAGCGTCGAGCGTAAGAGCCGATGCAGGGAGGGTAGTAGTAAGGTCCTACTCTGAAGAGCGGAGAGTAGAAACCCCAGTCCCCGCACGCTCGGATTAGCACGGTTGGCTACGTACGGGGCGAAATAAGCTCAGCATACATACATACAACTCATTAATTGGCTGACAACGCCTCAATCTGTGTAGAGGACCGCAGAGCTTGGGCAATTGTTGGTGCCGGCTCTCACCGCGTGGGCCGCCTTTGCTTTTCTGTGGTTTCTCCTCGTGGCCTCTACTCTCGCCGCAACACTGAGCGGGATATTGTTATGCAGCGCCATGTTAAAAGTTTAAACGTGTTTTTTTTTTTAGTCTTGGACACTGGGCCCCCCCTCCCCGCCCCCCGCCCACTTGTTCACCGACTCGCACTGACCAGCGCGGCCAAGTGCGGTCAAACAAACAGCCGGCGACCATCGCGGTCTCGAGACGGCCTTCATCCGGCATGGAATTGACAAAAGGGGCCGTGATGATGCCCCGTTCGTTCCAGAGCTCGGTCGCTCGGCTTACTCACGTGTGCAGCCTCCCACTCGCCTGTACAGCAACTCGATGCTCTCAGCCTGGCTTAGCTTCCTACATCCCTCGCGCTCGCTCGACCCCGCGCACGAACGGCCCGGCCGGCCGGCCGACCAGCCGACCAGCCGACCAGCCGATCGACCGACACCTTCCCACCTCTACGTCGTCGCTAACCACGTTCCCCCCCCCCGCCCTCCCCCGCGTTCCCCCTCCCAGCGCGGGAGGCTGAGCTGCGGCAGCTGCGCAAGACGAACACGGAGTACGAGGAGCAGAACGCGATCCTGCAGAAGCACATCGAGAACATGCGCGCTGCCATCGAGCGGCTGGAGCGCGACGTGAACGCGGAGCGCGTGCACAACCTGGCACTGCACCAGCACCTGGAGGCCCTGCGGCACGCGCTCACCAATGGCTTCTCCGCCGTGCCGCTGCCCGGTACCGCCTGCCGCCCCGGCGCGCGGCCTTCGGCGTCTGGCCGGTTGAATACGTAGGGGGACGGGAGGGGGGGGGGGGGGGGCGCCACGGTGGCTAGGAGATGTTCACTACCTCGCCTGGTACACGGGATGTCGTGGGTTCGACCACGACCCTGACGCCTGTTGTATATTTGGAGTTTGCGTGTGTCTCTCTCTCTCTCCCCGTGGTCGTGTGGATTTTCCTCCTAGCTCCTCCGGTTTTTCCCTCCACATTTAGAATCGCGCGTTTAGAGTATTGGGCTGCTATACATTTCCGCACGATGAGGATGAGGAGCCACTTCGTTGGGCTGTAATTCGTGATGGCCAGGTCGCTTCTGAAAAAGAGATACATAGCAGCACATTGGGCCTTACCTGGTTGTTCGGTGTGTGGGGAGTGGTGGCGCTATCATGAGTTGGGAACGAGTGGCTGGCACTCTTAACACTTCGTTCTTCCACTGTACAATCGAGCCGAATATTTTTGAACTGGTTGTGGGCCTCCCACCGTACGTCGGCTGAGCCTCTCAAATGAGTATCCGGTTCTGGTGTGTAAACATCGGGGAGATGTGCCCTTCCGGCCTTCGTGGCTGCTCCCTAACATCACAGTTTGTTCAGGCTATACGGGGGGGGGAGTGGGGAGGGTCCTTTGCCCTTGTGCGTGTGCGTCTGCTCGCAATCACTGTTGACGCTTGCGTGTGCGCGTGTCCGTGTGCGTGCGCTGACGGCAGGCTCTGGCGAGACGCCGACGCTCGAGACGATCGACTCGTACATGACGAAGCTGCACAACATCATCCTGGCGAGCCCGCAGGAGAACGAGGGCCTCCTGGCCACGGTGCGCGACGTGGTGTCACGCCTTGACAGGTGAAGCTTTCGCAGCGCCGCCGACTTGGTGGCGACTCCTCACGAAGACCCCTCGTGACGGCCCTTCGTGACGACCCTACGTGAACCCCTCATGACCCCTAGCGATAACACCTCTTGAACCCCTCGTGACCCCTTGTGACTCCTCGTGACCCCCCGCGACGACCCCTCGCGACGACCCCCCGAGACCCGTCCCTGCGACCCCCCCCCCCCCGTCACCCCCCCTGCAACCCCCCCCCCGCGTGTCCCCTCCCCCGTGTCCCCTCCCCCGCGTCCCCTCATGCGAACCCCCGCCCGCCCGCCTGCATGATAGTCGCCCGCTAATGGCACCAATATGGCGCGCTGCAAGACGGCCAGTGACGTCCCAACCAGTTTTGGGCCTCCCCTACGTCGACAGACCCTTAAATTGGTACCTGCTGCTGCAAGTGCCTAAAACATCGACGACAGTGGGGAGAGAAAGGTGGTCGGGCGTGGCGGCTACCGATGGGACCCCGGTGTCCGTGAGCTACCGACGGGCCTCCGTAACGATTCGCCAGTAACCCTCGTCCCCCGACGGCTAACGCTGATCAACGATTGATTTTTGTCCTCTGTGTGCGCGCCGCGTGTGTTCAGCGACAAGCTTTGAAATGCAAGGGAGCTCCGAGGGGCTTTTGGGGAGGGAAGAGAAGAAAGTGACACGCTGGGTTTTCCATGAAGTGCGCTCTTCGTGGTCTTTGAAGAGAGAGGATGCATTCCGGATATATAAAAAAAATACACAACGGAAAAATGAGAACAAAAAAATGGCAACGGCTAAAACAAAAAGGAAGGCTGACAGCTGCGGCGTATTTTTCCCGTTGGCGGAAGTCGACGATGAAATATCAATGGAATTTTCCACGGAGGACTTTTCACGGCAAAACACAAAAAAAAATGTCTCGGAGAAAAACCGTCGGCTCGGTCCGCTGAAGAATTTTCGTCCGATATAAGAATCCTTGGCTTGGGGCCCGTTACCAGAACGTGCTGCTGCTGCTGCTGCATCTCATCGCAAACCACCGCTCCTCCTTTCAGCCGATGCAGAACCGGTCGAGTCTTAATGCAGATCCCCCTCGTCTAATCGAAAACAGCACTTGTGCTCATCCGACACAGAACCCTCGCCCTGTCCGATAGAGAACCCCCGTTTCATCTGACACAGAACCCTATTATCACTTTGGGTGCCTTAGTTTTTGGCTCACCACTGGCCACCAGCGTGGTGGGGGGAGCGGGTGGCGCCCCCCCCCTCCTCTACTCCCCCCACCCCCCCCCCCCCCCCCACGGTACAGGTGGTATTTCCGCTTGGTTATTTTTGACGCCTACCAAGCCAGAAACAAACCGGGCCACGGTTGGTTCTCGTCAGAAGCCACCTGGATCGTTGTTGTGGGGGACGCAGCAGAGAGCCTGTGACGACACGTTCATTGTGTGTGGTGCTGGTCCGTCAGTTGATTGGTCGATCGGTCTGTCCATCGGTCGATCGGTCTGTCCATCGGTCGATCGGTCTGTCCATCGGTCGATCGGTCTGTCGATCAGTCGATCGGTCTGTCGATCAGTCGATCGGTCTGTCCATCGGTCGATCTGTCGATCGGTCTGTCCGTCTGTCCATCGGTCCATCGGTCAATCGGTCTGTCAATCGGTCGATTGGTCTGTCCATCGATCGGTCTGTCCATCGGCCTGTTGATCGATCGGTCTGTCGATTGATCGTTTGGTCGGTCGGCCGGCTGGTTTGATCGGTCGGTCGGTCGATTGATCGGTCGGTTGGCTTGTTCGGTCGATCGGTCGGTGTGGGCGCTGCGAGGACACGGCGTGGCGCCCGCGCGACGTCGTTGGCAGTGCCAGCGGCACTTTTCGGAACTCTCGGTGCACCGTGGAGCGGCCAGAAGCGCCCAACGCCCCCCCTGCCCCCCCCCCCCCCCCCCCAACGGCCATGGCTCGCTTTTAAAGTGTAAAATAATAAAGTATTAGGATGCCGGCCACTCGTCACCCAGCTCATCGTAGTCCTGCACAATTTGCGGCAGACTTATTTGTTCGTAGTCAACGGGGTTAGCTGGTCCTGGCACCGGTGATGTTGGACTTGGCGCAAATCTCCCTCCGTGCTCTCGTAAACCACCTGGCCATCGCTAATGCAGAGCAGCAGCTGGTCGAACCTGCTATGAAGGGGGTTCATTTCTTAGTTTTCTTTTAATCCCGGAAAGCCTTTTTTTTGTAACAGTGTTGTCGCGTGGATGGTTTTAATTACAATTGTTGTTACTTCATAACTGTTGGCGTCTCGTTTTTTTTTTTTACCGGAAATGACATAATTTGTACATTTTATTTCGGTGAGTGGCTTTTGATCGACGGCTTCTGTCAAAAGAGCGCAATTCTATATTTTCTCTCTGCATACGCTGTTTGTTTTCTAACAAACGATCTGACGGTGGGTGTTGTTTCAAAACATAAAGATGTTTTTAAAATAACTGCCCCAAAGGTGTAATTATTATTATTTTTTTTAATTGAGGCAATTGCACGGGGCGGTTACATCGCGTTGTGATGCACGCACACAAAGACAAAAATCCCCCATATAGCCTTCAACATACTTGGGGCAAGTGCCGTTAGTGTGCAGCACCTACGAAGGCCAGAACGGCACACGAGGGGTGGGTGGCCAGCACCACACCCGGCCGCCTTTGTCTTCCCAGTGGCGATCTTTTTACACGCTGCACCAGGTACTCATTTGAGGCCGAGTCGACCTTGGTGGGGAGGCCCAGGGACAGTTTAGATAATCGTCACAGGTGTTGGTGGCCTTGAGCGGGAATCGAACTCGGGTTGCCAGGTTCGTAGCGCTACACTACCGCTCCACCAATACCAACAGCCGCCATATGCCACTAAGTGACGGTGACGTCACCACGGCACCTGTGCCAGGCCAGGTGCACTTTGAGGCCACGTGAAGTGTCGAAGGCTCGCTGCTGACGGGAGGTCTCGGGACAGACCCAGCAGGTGCCATGGGTTGGCTGACTGAGATGACCTTTAGATGCACCACCAGCTGTACCCCCCACAGTGCCAACTTGCTGCATTTTGGCAGCCCGTCGCTCCGGGCGGTTACCGCTCCCACACATACACACCCGTCAAACATCAACTAGACCGGTTATGAAACGCGGGGGCCCCAACGGTATAATCTTTAGATGTGGGTGTCAAAGCCTGCGAGTCTTTGTACCGACGACGCCACGCATTTGAAGGACCGCCACTGCTGCATCGGTTGTAGAGGTTACACTTCCAAATCCACCTCTGGATGAGCATGCTTTGCTATGTATGGTGCAAAAGAAGTTCAAGATACACTACAGTATACACTATATACTACGCTACATACTTCACTATACACTGCACCACACTAAGTATATATTTTTTTCCCTTACAACTGCTTTTTGTGATTGGTTTGTCCTTCCCTCCACACCTCCGATTAGCACGCTTGGCTACGTACGGTGCGAAAGAAGTTCAACGTACGGATGCGGGTCACCGGCTCCATCTGCCGGCATAGAAGAAGTTGAAGCGATGAGCAAACTTGTGTTCATATCTGCCAAATCTTGTTGTCTCCACCTCTGGCAGTGTACAGGGACTCCTCTACTTACGAATGAGTTAGGTTACCGAGGCCCGTTCGTAAGTCGATTTGTCCAACTTCTGTCGATTCCAAACACGTACGGCATGTAAACTAAACACGAGGAATGGCTTTAAAAGTTGTATAATCTCCTGTAGACATAGATGCCACCACTTCTTCATGTTCTGCAGATGTAAATGGCACCACCGCTATCTGTTGTGCGACTGTTGAACTTGCAACTGTCCGAACAGGCAACTGGACATACGGACTTGGTTTGTATCTTTGAAAGTTCGTAAGTCGAATGGCCGTAAGTCGGTAGCAACGGCCACGGTTGGTATATCGGCAGCTCGCGTTTGGTGGCGTCGCGTTTGGGTCGGGGGGGGTGGGGGGGTGACTTCCATCTCTTGCAAAATATCTCGCCAGCGTGGACGTGTTGGCCAAACGTACCCACTCGAGCAGTGGTTCATTCTTCAGCTGGGGTGCACGCTGCGTACCCTGGGCGTGCGAGACGTGGCCAGATCTTTTGAGAAGGCAAATCGTCAAAAGACAAATTAATCACGGGCACGTAAGTACAACTTACTTGGTTTCATCAAACATTTATTTATTACCATACATTCTTTAGCGATCGAGAAGCAGAGGGGTGTGAGGCTGCAGTCAAGTTCAAGATCCACTGCTCTCGAGCACAGGGCCTCTCTCTGTCTCGGGTTCCCTCGACTCCACCGATGGTCTTGAGGCCATTGGTGGCAATTCGACGTTGGGGCGCCACGGTGGCTAGGAGATGTTAACTACCTCGCCTGGTACACAGGAGGTCGTGGGTTCGATCTCGATCATCACTATCACGGTGGCTAGGAGATGTTAACTACCTCGCCTGGTACACAGGAGGTCTTGGATTCGATCTCGATCATCACTATCACGGTGGCTAGGAGATGTTAACTACCTCGCCTGGTACACAGGAGGTCGTGGGTTCGATCTCGATCATCGCGGTGGCTAGGAGATGTTAACTACCTCGCCTGGTCCACAGGAGGTCGTGGGTTCGATCTCGATCATCACGGTGGCTAGGAGATGTTAACTACCTCGCCTGGTCCACAGGAGGTCGTGGGTTCGATCTCGATCATCACGGTGGCTAGGATATGTTAACTACCTCGCCTGGTACACAGGAGGCCGTGGGTTCGATCTCGATCATCACTATCACGGTGGCTAGGAGATGTTAACTACCTCGCCTGGTACACAGGAGGTCGTGGGTTCGATCTCGATCATCACTATCACGGTGGCTAGGAGATGTTAACTACCTCGCCTGGTACACAGGAAGTCGTGGGTTCGATCTCGATCATCACGGTGGCTAGGAGATGTTAACTACCTCGCCTGGTACACAGGAGGTCGTGGGTTCGATCTCGATCATCACTGTCACGGTGGCTAGGAGATGTTAACTACCTCGCCTGGTACACAGGAGGTCGTGGGTTCGATCTCGATCATCGCGGTGGCTAGGAGATGTTAACTACCTCGCCTGGTCCACAGGAGGTCGTGGGTTCGATCTCGATCATCACGGTGGCTAGGAGATGTTAACTACCTCGCCTGGTCCACAGGAGGTCGTGGGTTCGATCTCGATCATCACGGTGGCTAGGAGATGTTAACTACCTCGCCTGGTACACAGGAGGTCGTGGGTTCGATCTCGATCATCACTATCACGGTGGCTAGGAGATGTTAACTACCTCGCCTGGTACACAGGAGGTCGTGGGTTCGATCTCGATCATCACTATCACGGTGGCTAGGAGATGTTAACTACCTCGCCTGGTACACAGGAGGTCGTGGGTTCGATCTCGATCATCACTATCACGGTGGCTAGGAGATGTTAACTACCTCGCCTGGTACACAGGAAGTCGTGGGTTCGATCTCGATCATCACGGTGGCTAGGAGATGTTAACTACCTCGCCTGGTACACACGAGGTCGTGGGTTCGATCTCGATCATCACTGTCACGGTGGCTAGGAGATGTTAACTACCTCGCCAGGTACACATGAGGTCGTGGGTTCGATCTTGATCATCACTGTCACGGTAGCTAGGAGATGTTAACTACCTCGCCTGATACACAGGAGGTCGTGGGTTCGATCTCGATCATCACTTTGGCTAGGAGATGTTAACTACCTCACCTGGTCCACAGGAGGTCGTGGGTTCGATCTCGATCATCACTATCACGGTGGCTAGGAGATGTTAACTACCTCGCCTGGTACACAGGAGGTCGTGGGTTCGATCTCGATCATCACTGTCACGGTGGCTAGGAGATGTTAACTACCTCGCGTGGTACACAGGAGGTCGTGGGTTCGATCTCGATCATCACGGTGGCTAGGAGATGTTAACTACCTCGCCTGGTACACAGGAGGTCGTGGGTTCGATCTCGATCATCACTATCACGGTGGCTAGGAGATGTTAACTACCTCGCCTGGTACACAGGAGGTCGTGGGTTCGATCTCGATCATCACTATCACGGTGGCTAGGAGATGTTAACTACCTCGCCTGGTACACAGGAAGTCGTGGGTTCGATCTCGATCATCACGGTGGCTAGGAGATGTTAACTACCTCGCCTGGTACACAGGAGGTCGTGGGTGCGATCTCGATCATCACTGTCACGGTGGCTAGGAGATGTTAACTACCTCGCCAGGTACACATGAGGTCGTGGGTTCGATCTTGATCATCACTGTCACGGTAGCTAGGAGATGTTAACTACCTCGCCTGATACACAGGAGGTCGTGGGTTCGATCTCGATCATCACTTTGGCTAGGAGATGTTAACTACCTCACCTGGTCCACAGGAGGTCGTGGGTTCGATCTCGATCATCACTATCACGGTGGCTAGGAGATGTTAACTACCTCGCCTGGTACACAGGAGGTCGTGGGTTCGATCTCGATCATCACTGTCACGGTGGCTAGGAGATGTTAACTACCTCGCGTGGTACACAGGAGGTCGTGGGTTCGATCTCGATCATCACGGTGGCTAGGAGATGTTAACTACCTCGCCTGGTACACAGGAGGTCGTGGGTTCAATCTCGATCATCACTGTCACGGTGGCTAGGAGATGTTAACTACCTCGCCTGGTACACAGGAAGTCGTGGGTTCGATCTCGATCATCACTGTCACGGTGGCTAGGAGATGTTAACTACCTCACCTGGTCCACAGGAGGTCGTGGGTTCGATCTCGATCATCACTGTCACGGTGGCTAGGAGATGTTAACTACCTCGCCTGGTACACAGGAGGTCGTGGGTTCGATCTTGATCATCACTTTGGCTAGGAGATGTTAACTACCTCACCTGGTCCACAGGAGGTCGTGGGTTCGATCTCGATCATCACTATCACGGTGGCTAGGAGATGTTAACTACCTCGCCTGGTACACAGGAGGTCGTGGGTTCGATCTCGATCATCACTATCACGGTGGCTAGGAGATGTTAACTACCTCGCCTGGTACACAGTTGGCCGTGAGTTCGATCTCGATCATCACTATCACTTTGGCAAGGAGATGTTACCTACCTCGCCTTGACCACAGGAGGTCGTGGGTTCGATCGCGACCCTGACGCCTGCTGTATATTTGTAGTTTGCGTGTCTCTACCCGTAGTTGCGTGGATTTTTCTCCGGGTCTTCCGGGTTTTCCCTCCACATTTAGAATCGACGTACATTTCAACATGATAAGTCCACTTGGTTGAGCTATCATTTGTGATAGCCAGGCTGCTTCTGATAAAGAGCTGCATAGTTCAGCGGGCCCCCCTACCTGGTAAACATTTACATTGTCGACTTTTCGTTGACCGGTCCCTGCGGAGTACGGCTGCAATGTGGTACTCATTTTAGTGACCCTGGTGAGAATGATGATGATGGCGTGACGAGTCGACTCTCCATTGGCACTT